CTACTGATGATAATTTTTAATGATTTGACAACGGTTTTCAGCCTGATAAAATTCAACACATTACAAAGACTTTACAAGCCCACTTCTGAATGTTCTCCCTCTTTCTTTCTCTGTGAAAGACGTATTTGAAACCACCCACTGTGCAAAGACCTAGTTTGGACGTCCTACAGACGTGGGCCGGACCGACGAACTCAATACAGACATGATCTGCACGTCCGTGCGACGTTGACTGTTTGCAGGGCAGCTAAGTAGCCTAGTGGTATGAGTGTCCATCCTCAGACTGGGAAATCATGGGTTTGAATCCACGGTCGGGTCATACCAAAGACATAAAAATGGTCAATGCCTCCTTGCTTGACACTCGGCTTCAAGGGGTTCGATTGAGGGGTTAAACCACCAAATGGATCCCGAGCACGGCTGTGTGCACAGCTCTTCGTTGCCCCAGGGGATGGGTCAAATGCAGAGAACATCTAATGGGACTTACTTATTGTTTTTGATTAATCAATAAATTCAACATCAAAATAAAATGTTCTGTTTGCAAAAACGTATAACTAGTTTTATTGTGACGATAATCTGTAAAATTTTGAAAAAAACAAAACAAAAAAAAACGTGATTTTCTGCTAAACACAAAACATTTTCAACCATGAAGTTTAAACAGTCATGCTGCTTGAAAAGTGAACAGACAGAATTTCTAAATATTGTAGTGATTCATTAGGGGGCTACTGTGATTGCTGTTGTAGGTTACCGTTCCTTTAAGAGAAAAGTGAAAGCTGGAGGTGCTGCGGGTTTTTCTCAGCTGTTTGTTGGACTACCCTAATAAACCACTGCTAAGGGCAAATGTTTTGGTTCTGCACAAATATTATAACCTTGAGCTGCAAGATGAATTCTCGTGAGATTTAGAGTTTTCAAACTCAGGAGAATCCTGAAATCCCGAAAGGAGTAGACTTGACACGGGGCGGGGCTACACATAGAGATCTGGCTGCTGCCAGGTTACAAATTTTCTTGGGTTGCGTCTCGTTTGTAATACATCTGATTAAAGCTTCTGGTGCGCACATGAGACTGCTCAGAAGAAGCGCTCCTGCAGGCGTTTTAGTCTCGTTCTCCACTTGTCACCTTGGCTCCCTTTATTTTGGTTTTTCTAAATGCCGGCTGTGCACCACCTGGCTTCCAAATATTTTTTTCAGCTTTATTCGTGGCTTCTGTAAGAACAAACGCCAAGACATTAACGGTGCATTCAATGCGCCTTGAAAACATAGCAGACAAACTATGAACTAACTGATGTAATCATTGTTTTTACCAATGATAGACATGCTAGGAACAATACACTGCGCATTTAGCCATCACTTGTACCTGATGCACGCTGCCGTTAACGGGGCAGTGGCATCGCTACCATTATGAACGAACCACTGGCTCAGATTGGTGAATCTTTCCATTCCTAGTTTCCGCGATCAGTGCTTCTGGTTTCTTTTACCGGACATTCGATATGAGCATGACTCAGTTTCACAGGGCCGTGTTCAAAATAACTTTTCTGGGCCGTTTCAGGAACCTGAACTAGGGGTATGTACTCATGCTGATTGGTTGTACCTTAACAGGAAATTATACCAGCCGATGTCGCCAAGCAACCAGCATTTGTACAATAGGAATGTTGCTGGGGAAGCAGAATGAAAGGAAAAGAAAGTATGAAGATGTAACGTCACCAAATGGACTGATTTTAAAGATCCTACAGGTCATATGCAGCCAGAGCAAATAACCCTGGCTACTACATGTTTTGCTGTATCTTCCCTTGTCAGGAGTCTGTGAGTCAGCACAACTCAGCATTTTAATCAGATGACTTCATCAGCTGAGCGCAGCTTCATCAGACAATAAAGATGAACAGTAGCAGCCAAGGCCCTTCACAAGAGAACTGTTTTAGATAAATCTTTATTCCCAGAAGAAAGAAGATTTCATACTTAAAAGTAATCGTTTTATATTTCAAAATAATCATGGAAGAAAGAAGATTTTATGATTAAAAATCATTACATATTGCCACGTATAATTAAGCAATGAAATGTTCATGAATCTATACTCAAGGATTGTTTAAGTGTGTTTACTGGATTAGGTCATCACCATCTGCTCACACCAGACAGAGAGTAAGGTTAAGATAAGAGCGCATGACACATAACTAACCTTGTCCCTAGACTCAGAGACTCTGCGTCTCAGAGCGTGTGTTTTCTGAGATTCTTGGTAAGTTTGGTCATAGATAACAGCGGGTATATGAACCAACCGCTCTGCTTTCTCGTCAGACGGGAGACAAAGCTGGAGACTGGCCATCTCTTAGCAGATCTATAGCTCAGAAAGATTTTGACACGCTGTCAAAACCTTAAAGCTTTTTACACCTGCGAAGCTGACCGACAAGATAGTTTTCCTGCAGAACAAAGCTGACTCAAACTCCTTCAGAGTTATTTTAAGACGCGTGGTTTCCATCCATCTGTCGTGACCCGAGACACATCTCTAGGACTGAAAGGGCGACACCTCGGTACTCTACAGCCCTCCGGTGCCAGCGGTCATCCGACCACTCTGACTTTAAGATCCACCAAGAGGGTGCCTCTACGGTAATGTAGACACACATATAGCGTCTGTATGCAGTTTGATAAATAACAGCTTGTAGCTTATCTGCAAACCAAATTCTTTTATAGCCAGAACACACCCCTCTCTGAGGTACGGAGATTTTGACTCTAACACTGTATTCACGCATAGTTTCCACACACACATCTTTTAGTTCACATCCACTCACATAATAGTTTAAACAATCTGTCAAGTCTTAATTGTAAAATAAATGCTTATTTGTTTGCAAACACTGACTGGTTCTTGAATCATAAACAAAGTGTGAACGATCCCTTAATAATTAAAAGAGTCCTAGAACCTTCTAATTAATCATCCTAAGACCAAGCAAGGTGATGTTCTATAATTAATAGAGTATCACAGCTAGTGGTCACAAGTAATGATAATAGAAATTGCTCTTAAGCAATTTATTTAATCCAATGTACCCTCTATTTGACTCATTACAAAGAGTTGAAGCTGCTTTAAAACTGATGTTTCTAAATTCCCAATGCCAAAAAATGTGGTGAAACCCCACCCACCAACAAGCCCAGCGTATTTACCCGCCACCAACGCCCTCCCAGAACTTTCCCGGAACTCCTATAGCGGAAATGTGGCTATTAAAAGGTGTGAAATGAGACAAAGAAAGTTATAAACAACAGGCTATTTCAAGTGAATAAACTTAAAATGTTAATCCCTATTTCTCCAAACAGAGGCTGTTCAAAAAGCTACCCGCAACAGATAATATTTTAATAGTTTTCCCTTCAAAACATCCAAACTAGTCTCAGAATAAATCACAAGTAGCTCAAATTTGTTCTGAAGTAAAGGTGTGCGCTACCACTGAGAAACACACAGATTAAAACCACGCTTGTCTGCTTTTTAAGACTTTAAGCAGATTTTTGTAAACACTGTCACAAAAGTAAAAATATTCCAGGGGATGACTCGGTGGAAACATGCAAATAGAGTAAATCTGGCTTTACAGACATGAATCTGTTTAAGTTTAATCACATGATTATTTACCACCAGAGCAGGTCTCGTGCAGATTTGTTATGTTTTAAATAAAGACAATATGATGAATGTATCCCATGTTGTGTGCTCTAACAAAGAACTGGCTGAGTAGAGTGTGTGTGTGTTCATGAGTGCATTTGTGCGTGTAAGTCTGCAGATGTATTACAATCAGCAGGGCCAGGCATCCCTCAGGCCACACACACACACACACACACACACACACACACACACACACACACACACACACACACACACACACACACACACACACACACTCACTCTAACTGCAGGATGTCCAGGCCCTTGCAGGCCTACTGAACCAATTCAAATGGCATGATCCCCCTCTCCCTGATCAGGGAAAGACCCCAGCTCCCAGGAATTTGTCCATGCAGATACGACCCATTTCCCATGACGAAACACCACCACGTCATCTCTTAAGGGCCCATTGGTCTCTGGAGCTCACATGGACTCACTCGTTACGATCATCTTAATTTCAGAGGATTTCCTTCGAACTGCATCAAACAATCATGTCATCGTGCACCAGCAGAAACATTAACATCCAATTTTTTTTAACCTTTTGACATCTCTGATCTGTTTTTCCCTCCTCGTGTGTGGCTGCAGGTCTGCGAGAGCGCCCCCTAGTGATGACACAGTAAGGAGCCACAGACAGTAAAACCACCCTGGTGTAAAAACAGATTTCCATCAGATCCCCCCTTCAAGATAATGGTAATTTCACAGATAACAGAGAATCTATGACGTGGAGGGGAGGAAAAAATGCAAATTAACCCCCCCCACGAATTCTACCCTGAAGAATTGATTTCTAATTTTCTTTTGGCGGGCTGTATCTTCCTTTAAATCATCTTCTCCATGAGTGATAAGCCACAGCAGCGTTTCTTCGCTTTGATCTTAAAATAATCTGCAACTTCAATAAATAAATAAATAATGGCAGCAACAGGACCTCCAACTCTTGGTGAGAGCATTTCAAAAAGCAGCCTCTGGAATTAATAAAATAATCTTCACACCCTCATAAAGGCTTTTAACAAGCTCAGGATGCACACAAACAATTTAGTTCTCAGGTAAATCATCATATCAGTTTGATTCTTCTGCTTGAAAATGGGGGGAAGAGACAAAAGCTCAGCAGAACAAAAAGGACATAAAGAAGCTTTTAGACCTAAGTGACACTAACAGTAAACATTACAGCACATCTCTGCTTCTATTCAGGTCTTTTGTGTGCTGAAAAGAAGTGCTCAGTGCATTTGTTTTTTACGGCGTGCAGTCCTGTGAAGCTGTTAATTGCAGGAGGAAATGGCTGAAGGCTCCCTTGTGCACAAACCTGCAATTGAAGTTTACAGACACATCACAAATTTCCACACAGGTCTCAAATAGGGTGTCTTTTGTGAGTCGAGGCATCTTTTAAAGCCTCTGGGAGTGAAAGTGGGCCTTTACGGGCCCCTAAAAAGGAAGTGAATCATATAGTGTGGCTTAGCTGAAATAAAGAAGAGGGAATCTGATCATTTAAGACATCCATTAGCATTTCAGCTAAGTCAAGTGACCAGGAGGCCTCGGCATTGGCTAATGACGAGCACATTAATTTAACCAACGAAAAAGATGTGGGACGAGTTGCTTTTGTGTTCTCTAAATACTGTTTCTTCATCCCCTGGGTATTTAGAAACCTTATCGTAAAATATCCCACAGCACCCACAATCTGGAGATAGCATTCAGCGGTGGGGAAACCAAGAGGGAAAGCTTAGTGAAAATAAAAACAGAGTGCCGTGCAGAGAGCTGAGCCTCTCAAGAGATAATGGGGACTGCAGATTTAACCGAGGACGGCACACAGAGGCTTGAAACGAAGGACTGGTAGATGTCTGCGAGCTGCGTCTTTTAAAGAAACCCACTTACCTGAACATGTATGGAGGGAGCACACAGAAGGACAATGCTCTCACTAATACGGTCTGTCTCCGAGGAAAGTTTTGGTCCCTGTTATGGTGAGTGGCAAGAAACTGCTTCTCTAAATTGTTGCAAATATTTTTTTAATGAAATAGGTATCCTTGTGGCAGTGATGGAATGTAATGATGTACAAGTATTTCATTACTGTATCATTTTTCTGTATCTGTACTTTACTTAAGTCTTTTTTTTCAGGCCTACTTTTTACTTTTACGTCACTACAAATAAAAATTTCAAAAGTGAAAGAACTTTCATTTGCATTTTGTCCAACTCCCACCCAAACCCCGGGTTTGATGGAGACAGGGTGTGCATTCCCTTGTTCGAGCTGCCGCCGGACTGCAGTTCCAAAGGTAAAAGTATTACTTTCACTTTTTTTCTTTGAAGTACATATTAAAATGCATACTTTAATACTTTTACTTATGTTAAATATTCTCTTAACAGTCCAAATGTGAAAATATCCATCCAACCATTTTTTTTGTCAGTGTTTGGTTTTAGGAACGAAAACAAGCCAATTCAAAAAGTCCCTGTTTGTGATTATCACAAATTACAGTGGAACCACCAATCACGTGCAAGAAAGAGCTGGTGCTGGAGGAACAGCAGCTCTACTCCAAACCCCGCCAGCACATCCGAGTTTCTCAGCTTATAGTAGCCTGAGTGGGGGATGGGTAGGTGTGGCAAGCTACAGCTTTTTTTCTTAAAGTGACAAAGCCCTAAAAAGGCTCATTGTGGAAGATACTGAAAATGTCAAGAATAAAAATTCTGAAATATCTTAATGTGAGAGAGATTGAGTGCAAAGAACTTCATGAACATGTTTGATATCAACCATAAAAATATTATAAACTAAGAAAAAAGTTATAATTTGTCCCCTTTTAAATAATTATTTATCCCTTTACCTGTACTTTCTGTACTTAAGTAAAAAAAACAGTACTTTTTCCACCACTGCATGGCGACACACCTGTTTTAGTCAGAGGGCTGGAGAAGAGCTGCTGCAGGAGTTTGTTCTCTGATGTTCTCAGCACCAGAACGATGTCTGCAGGAAGAGTGTCCCGGTTCTTCTCCAGGAAACCGTTCACATCGTACATAACCTGTAGAGTAAAACACAGGAAATGCTCAGAAATCCGAAGTTTTGTTAAGAAAAAACAACTTCAAACCTAATACTGCAAGTTTTCGCCAGGTTAACATTTACGGACATATTCTAAGTTAAAATTAGATAGATTCAGATGTTCTGATACCTTCCCAGCATAATGCTGAATTCCAAAGCAAAGCTCCATGCGTTTAGGTATCCAAAAATACTTGCAGCGCAGATTGTCTTCAAATTTATCTGAAAGCAAACAAGAAATGTCAGTTTTACATGTTATAAAAAATCACCTCAGATGTATTTTGTAGACTCACCCACGAGGGTTTGGTCCGTGGCCTGAGGGAAGCGGCTCTCCTCGTCCATCAGGGACAGCAGACCCATGGGTTTCTGCAGAAACATGTCCAGGATGGGCCTGTTGTCCTCGTACTCCACCAGGCTGGCATCTACTCCCTCGCTCTGGTATTCCATCTAATTAGAACCACAAAACGCAAAAAGAACCAGTTATTGGTTTCACTAAATGACCCAGTTAAACAATCTGGGGTAAAAATGACTCGTGTGTGAGTGTGTGTGTGTGTGTGTGTGTGTGTGTGTGTGTGTGTGTGTGTGTGTGTGTGTGTGTGTGTGTGTACGCGCACATGGAACCAGCTGCAGCTGGCTGAACTTTTTAGCATAATGAAATGGATGCATGAACCCCAACAGCTCCAATCTAACAAATAGTCACTCACTTATTTATAATGTATTTCAATGTGCAAATAACACACTGCGATATTCTTATTATTGCATCTGTTTAACTTCAGATCAAAAAGTTGTTTTAAATATGTATTTTACTAATAAAGAAGAACCAATGGATCTAAACTGTTTGACTCATGTTTAAGTCATCATGCTGGAATAATCAGAGTGTGAAATAAAGATTCCCTTTAACGGGGCAACAACTTTCCATGAGCTCGGTCCTAATTCTCATTCATCACTGCTGTAAAAAAAGAACATGCAGCTTCTGATGAGTTCTGGTCCTGCAGAGCGTTTCTAAATGTGAATTTAGATGACTGTTCTCATTAAAGGAGCCATAGTTTTGAATGGAAATGGCACAAGATATATCGAAAAACGTAGATTACTTGTGCTTTTGAAAAGTAACTTCACTAGAACTAGTGATGAAAATTGCAAAGCGATTGGGTCAACAGCTTATAAATAATGTTTATTCATTTAAAAAATACATACTTTATTTAATTGAAAGGGTTTTTTTGAGGTGTACGAAGGTAAAAATAATCTTTTTTTTTTCTTTATTCATCAGACAAGCCAGAGGTTCACAGTTTAAATGAAAACATGCAGAAACAAGTAATCACAGCACTAGATCACCGATTCCCTGTTTTGCTTAATCCAAAACACATTAGAGTAATCTCTGATGCATCAGTGTGGATTATTAATACCCTCACCTGTTCCAGGGCAAATATGTGCTGATTGAAGTAAAACTGGATCTGCTCGTTTGCGATGTTGATGCACAGTTGTTCAAACGAGTTCTTCTTGAAGTTTTCAAAACCAAAGATGTCCAGGATTCCCACATTCATGCAACTCTCGGAGGCACTTCAAAGGAGAAAAGGGGGACAAACAAATGCATTCTTCCATGTGGCGGAGCGGGTAAATCCCCAGCAGCCGTATTAATTGATTAAACTTTAATGATAATTCAAGTTCAACCCAAATTCAGAATCGGATCTGGATGGCTTAGTCTGATGAGAAGTTACGGACAGCCGCTTCAGATTGCCTCGGCTGATTTAACCTCAAACATTTTCAGCACAAATAATTCACCTTTCTTCAGCTGAAGATGCTATTTATATTCAGCACTCGATGCTTCATGGCTGGACATAGAGGTCACCTTAAGCCTGCCCGGTTATTAACAGCAATAAAGAATCAGCCCAGATGACTTGAATTCATTTGTGTGAGATGACTCCCTGACAGTCGACGCTCACATTTATGAAGAAATTCTTTTGGATCAATGAAAAGTCTTTTTGCAGTCTCTCTGAAGTCTTTTTAATCATCTGAACATTATTTTCTCTGCACGCAACTATCAAAAATTTATAAAAACTTATCTTTTTTTGATTTTTTTGCTCTTTTTACTTTTCTTGTATGTGCTTATTAATATCATCTTCTTTGCATTTACCTCTGCGGACTTCCACAGAGGTCATCGGGGACTTGCAGAGAGCCTGCATGAGGGGACGTCCCCACAGATGACGACAGACACTCACCTGGTGTTCGTGTCAGGCTGCAGCAGTGAGTTGATGCGGTTCACGATCCAGCTGAAGAGGCGTCCGTACAAGGCCTTGGACATGGCGTCTCGGACGTCAGCAGCTTTGTCCACGGTGTTGGTACGGATGATGGTCTCGCCCCTCGTGACCACACACTGAGAAGTCAGCGCCTCCTGGAGCTCCTCGAAGCCGATGCTGAGGAGAGATGCAGCTGAAAAGAAAGGTGACTGATCAAAATAAAACGTAAAACTTGTAGATGATGTAGATGTTTTTCTCAAAATTTGTTTTGCCAAATTATTTGAAATGCTCCTCACAGCAACCAGTGTTGTCTGAAAACGAATTATTTCTGAACTGTACAATACTGGAAAAGCCACCTCACTGCGAACATCTAATTGATAATGACTGGAGCATGACTGTCCCCGATCGTGCCATGATCATCTATGCAAGAATCGAGGGTTTTCAGAGTAGCTAAACAGGAAGTGAAGCCTGAGCCAGGCTGCCTAGTGTAACGGACTGAATGTTCTGTTTGGGCCGTTTATGCGTTTGTGCATAGTCGCCTAGAGAGGAGCGTGAGTCTGAGCCATAAAGACATGCCAGTTTTACTTTCACAAGTAAATCATTACTGCATTTGCTGCAATAGATTACTTGTTCATTGTCTTTACTTATGAATTAATTTGAATCTTATTTTAATAAAATACAGCTGTAAAAGATCATAGATGAAAAAAGTAAAGGAAAATTTTTGATAAATTTGATCCCCAAAATATAGTAAAGATAGACATGAAAAAGAAGAGAACAAAAAAGTGAGTAGTTTCACAGTACTAGGAATTTCCTTTGGCAAAATTGTGCACAAGCACAAAACTAGTCATATGGCGGAGACAAAAAACTATTTTGATATTGCCCTAATTATTCCCTTTTTTTTTTCTTGTGCCCCCATGAAAAAATACTGGCCCCACTGTGGCCACCCCTGGAAAATTTGGTCTAGAACCGCCCCTGGTCTTAGGAAGTTCTTATTGACCTTTTTTCATGGGGATTTTCCCAGATTGGTGGTGGTACTGAGCTGCTGGGATTTTAAAGTTATTAATAAGCCAAGAAAGCTAAAAATTATCTTCTTTTTCCAACAGACATTTTTACTGAAAAGTTGCATGCAAGCATTAACTGTATTTCTTTTGTTGCTTGGCAACTTCAGTTTTCACCACCTTCAATCTGATAGAACAATGAGATCTGGCGATAACTCTGGATGTGTCTGGCCTGAGTTCTTTTAGTATTGCTAAATTTCATGTATATAGTTGCCCTTGCCAATACACACACCTAATATTAGCTAGCATACTGACTTGTCATATGGTTACGTTGGTGCATTACGTTAGGTGTTATCGCATAAACTGTCGATAATGGCCAAAAATGTAAAACTGAACCCTCTGGAACAAGCATTGTGCATTCCCGTATTCTAGAGGCACATTTTAGGGAGGTATGGAGGTTGGACATTGGTATTGTGCATTTTCACATGGCAGCTTGCTTGAAAGGCAAGAAAAACATCTCCTATTTCACCTTAAAGACAACAATATTATAAAAGTTTGTAAGATTGATTGTATTTTCTTTGTCTAATTTTCATTTTGACAATACTTGCATACTTCTGGAGTCCAAACAAGTTCGAAGTCAAACGTTTAGAGCCTATTTCCTTAGACTATTCTATGGTTTTGCTTTTTTGCTTGTACTAGATAGACCATCACTGAATTTAATGTTCTACTTTATTGTATCTCACCATTCTCCAAGGACTCTGAGTTGGGCACTTCACTCTTATCGGTCTGATGTTGTGATGTGATGGCTGCAAACTCAATGTTGCCCGTGTTCAAAATGCCTGAGAGAATTCTATAAACAGAGGTAACCTCCTAAAATACAAAACAGAGTAGAAAACTAAATAATTTGCATCACTTTTAGACTCAATTTCAGGTGTTTTGTACCTCCTCAGTGAAGCCGATGTTTCGAAAACACTCCTGAATTGCATCAAACTGCTCCTTATACAGTTCCCTCGAGACAATATCCTGCATCACTTTGTGTTGTTGGCTGTCAATATACCTGCAGAGGTTCATTATGAGAGACAGAGTCGGGTTTTAATGAAGAGAAGTGACAAACATATTTTCCTGAGCTGATAAAACTGCAGGACAAACCTGGGAGGCGTTCCGTCTGGCAGCCTGTAAATCTTCAGCTTATCTTGGTGGTAAAGCCCAGCGTATATGTAGTAGAAAATGTGAAAGTTTTTCTCACCCCTGCAAAGATAAAAGTCATGAAAAAAAAAGTACAATTCAAGAATGCTCCAAAATCAGAGAATCACTCACACAGCCTGTTTGATAACTCTCGATTTCTCCAGCAGGTATTCCGATATCTTGGCCCCGATGACCGCCCCTGTCGGTGTGAACTTCATCTCCAGGTATTTACCGAAGCGGCTGGAGTTATCATTAATAGCCGTGCATGCATTTCCAAAGGCTTCAACGAGAGAGTTGACCTGCAAGATCTTCTCTCTGAGAGTCCTGTTGTTTGCCTTAAAACAGCAACATTTAGAATGCAATGCTGATTTCTTAGGAGGTGTGAAATGTTGTCATTAAATCAACACCTAAGAGTTCAAAAATATTGCTTTCAAACTGGTTTCAGTGGTTCTCGAGCCATACATTTGTGCTCTGTAACCTTCTGTTGACCAGAAACTGAACTCAGCGACATTGTGGTTTCAGTACAAGTGTGGGAGGTCTCTGCCTGCTTTACGGCAACAGCTGTTTACTGTTCCGGTAGCTCACATAAAGGCTACCAGTTAGCCTTTTCAGTTTGCTAACTCAAGAAAAAGGCAAGAGAAGGATAATTGTGCCTTTTTTTCCAGGCAGAGCATGGAAATTAGTTAGGGAGCAATTATTTTGGAGGCGGAGCTAAGAGCTAAAACCAGAGTGAGCATCGACACGACCTCAAGGGAGCTAAAAGGCACTACAAAATCATGAACTGATAGTGACCTGGCTTTGTTGCTACTAGACTTTTAAGTAATAATTATTTGAGCAACAGTGTTGATTTTTTGACTTTGTGGCTTCTTTAGTATCATTTGGCTTGAGTAAGCATTAGCTTGTTGTTAGCGTTAGCTATATCAGGCTGCAGCAGGGTTGTTTACGACATTGTAATTCCACTTTCAGCCAGTAGGAGGAAGAGCCGGGAAACTTATTATTTGTTACTTTAAGGAAAAGCACTGTAAAATAAAAGGTTACCTTTCCCAAGAAGGTAAGATGCTGAACAATCAAATGAGCGCTTTCCGTTTTCCCCGCTCCGCTTTCTCCACTGATGATGATGCACTAAAATACAAGGACAACAAGACAAACAATAAACAGTTACACATATTTTACAATCTTTAAGAGGTAAAAATCTAACATTTTACAATTTTTCTCACTGCTTCGCTGCATCTTCAAAGGAGTTACAATTTTCAGTGTTTCCTAACAGATTTTTCTATTTAATGCAGGGATGTTCTGTGTTGCACCTGGTCTTTGCAGAATGTCACCATTCCTTGGTAAGCTGCATCTGCGGTGGCAAATATGTGTGGAGGGTTTTCAGCTCTCTTTACTCCATGGTACAGTTTAGAAAACTAAAAGAGACAGAATCACGTTAAATGCATATGAATTATTTTAAATATATATATATTTATTAAAAAATGTTCATGGTATATACCTCCTGACATTCTAAATATTCTTTTTAACACATATTATCTGATAATTGCTGAGTTTGGTGCAGCTTTAAACAATTTGTTCCACCTTTTGTGTTTTTTTTTATATTATTTTCTAACCTGAGGTGAGTAGATGCTGAGATTCTGGAAAGGATTCAAAGCGATGAGGATGTCACCAACGTAAGTGTACACCTGCAGATCATCATACCTCTTCTGGAGATGACTGATTATTATCTCCTACCATGAAAGATAAAGATAAATGTTGCAAACTGAGGTGGATAAAACAGGATTTAAAAAAATAAGACTCCTCCTACCTCATCCAGAAACTCCAGGTTTACCAGATCGTCATCAGGACAGCTTTCTACAATGAGGGTTTTACGAGTATTGATCCGCTTGTGCCTGCATGGAGATAGGGAGGAAGAGCAGTTAGATGGCTGAATGTGAGATCCAGTCACTTCTGAGGTTGACTGAAGCCCTTTAGTAGCTCTCCCAGGGGAAACATCTACCAATAATGCGCGCTGATTGCACTTCATCTGTGTTTTGACCTATTGGTCTAAAATGAGTCCCATGTGGGCAGAGGTCAGCGCACAGCCAGCTGGCTCCATGAAAACCTCAGGGAAAACCGCAGAATGTGGGAAAGCATATAATCGTCAGTGTAAATTTAACTCTGATAGTGTTATTCTTAACACTACAGGGAGTGCAGAATTATTAGGCAAGTTGTATTTTTGAGGAATAATTTTATTATTGAACAACAACCATGTTCTCAATGAACCCAAAGAACTCGTTAATATCAAAGCTGAATGTTTTTGGAAGTAGTTTTTAGTTTTTTTTTAGTTTTAGCTATTTTAGGGGGATGTCTGTGTGTGCAGGTGACTTTTACTGTGCATAATTATTAGGCAACTTAACAAAAAACAAATATATACCATTTCAATTATTTATTTTTACCAGTGAAACCAATATAACATCTCCACATTCACAAATGTACATTTCTGACATCAAAAACAATACAAAAACAAATCAGCGACCAACATAGCCACCTTTCTTTGCAAGGACACTCAAAAGCCTGCCATCCATGGATTCTGTCAGTGTTTTGATCTGTTCACCATCAACATTGCGTGCAGCAGCAACCACAGCCTCCCAGACACTTTTCAGAGAGGTGTACTGTTTTCCCTCCTTGTAAATCTCACATTCGATGATGGACCACAGGTTCTCAATGGGGTTCAGATCAGGTGAACAAGGAGGCCATGTCATTAGTTTTTCTTCTTTTATACCCTTTCTTGCCAGCCACGCTGTGGAGTACTTGGACGCGTGTGATGGAGCGTTGTCCTGCATGAAAATCATGTTTTTCTTGAAGGATGCAGACTTCTTCCTGTACCACTGCTTGAAGAAGGTGTCTTCCAGAAACTGACAGTAGGACTGGGAGTTGAGCTTGACTCCATCCTCAACCCGAACAGGCCCCACAAGCTCATCTTTGATGATACCAGCCCAAACCAGTACTCCACCTCCACCTTGCTGGCGTCTGAGTCGGACTGGAGCTCTCTGCCCTTTACCAATCCAGCCACGGGCCCATCCATCTGGCCCATCAAGACTCACGCTCATCTCATCAGTCCATAAAACCTTAGAAAAATCAGTCTTGAGACATTTCTTGGCCCAGTCTTGATGTTTCAGCTTGTGTGTCTTGTTCAGTGGTGGTCGTCTTTCAGTCTTTCTTACCCTGGCCATGTCTCTGAGTATTGCACACCTTGTGCTTTTGGGCACTCCAGTGATGTTGCAGCTCTGAAATATGGCCAAACTGGTGGCAAGTGGCATCTTGGCAGCTGCACGCTTGACTTTTCTCAGTTCATGGGCAGTTATTTGCACCTTGGTTTGTCCACACGCTTCTTGCGACCCTGTTGACTATTTTGAATGAAACGCTTGATTGTTCGATGATCACGCTTCAGAAGCTTTGCAATTTTAAGACTGCTGCATCCCTCTGCAAGATATCTCACTATTTTTGACTTTTCTGAGCCTGTCAAGTCCTTCTTTTGACCCATTTTGCCAAAGGAAAGGAAGTTGCCTAATAATTATGCACACCTGATATAGGGTGTTGATGTCAATAGACCACACCCCTTCTCATTACAGAGATGCACATCACCTAATACTCTTAACTGGTAGTAGGCTTTCGAGCCTATACAGCTTGGAGTAAGACAACATGCATGAAGAGGATGATGTGGACAAAATACTCATTTGCCTAATAATTCTGCACTCCCTGTATCGCAGTGTTTATATAATCCTCACCAGTCCAGTGTTAAAATTACTTTTGATAGTGTTAAAAATTTAACTCATTTATTGTGTTATTTTATGACACTTTCCAGTGTACTTTGACATTTTCGTGTTTAAGGTGTCACTTTACTTTAACGTGTATTTAACACTAATCAGTGTAACATGTATACTATATCCAGTGTTAATATTCAGAGTCACTATTATATTCAAGTTATTAATCAACATCATGATTTAATGAATTTTAATACTTTGCAGAGTGCCATGCTAGGAATCCACCAATTACACTAACAGACACTGGCTAACTCAAGACTTGTTCACCTCATGGCAGCAATCATTCAGTGGGAGAGGACCACAAGCAGTGGAGTCCAGAGCATGAAGTGTAGCCCATGCACTACATTATAGATGTGATGGTGGAACACACAGCGGTCCGATTCTTTTGACCAGCCTCCTCACTCACGGTGCAAACATGACATAACAAGCAAAACCACATTTGCAACAGTGAACAAAGTACTAACTAAGAACAACACAACTCCTCAAAATCAACATGCATAAACACCTCAAAATAGTACAAACTATCTAAAAACATGACTACCCACAATGCACCTCGCCCACTGCAGGCCGCTACCAGTCCAACTTTTAGAATAAAAGGGTGAAGTCTACAAATTAACTCTGCAGGTGTTACAGCTGCTGTGGGAGTTCAGAGTTAGATTTTCAGGAGTTAATTTGTCCAAAATAACACCTACAGAGTCAATTAGGAAACACTCATTTTTAACTCTGGGTTTTTATTCTCATGTCAGTGTTACACATCAACAGTGTAACTCGTTTTAGTGTTAAATTAACTATTCTTGGTGTTTAATTGGACCAACACCAGAAAATTAACACTTTTGAATTTGTTGTGAAGGAGCGCGTTTCTGAGCGAGGGCAGAAGCAAGAGGCTGAAATCAAAAAGTGATCAACCTTTTCCACTCCACTTAAAGGATGAAGTGTTTTCTTTTCTTCCCAGGCTAGAAGAGACAAATAAATTCATCATAGATACGAGTCTTTATCTGCAGCCTCTCATTTGATTCATTGTTCTGCAACAAACTCTACCAGTCGCATTGCTGCACTGGTGAAAATCTCAACTAACTAAAATGATCAAAATGCTCATTGTAAGCATTAAACAGAAGCATTTGAAAGTGTTTCCCAGCAAAGACAGCAGCACTAAACAGCATAACATGCAGCATAATCATCACATTAGAGAAACAGAAATCTAAACTTTTTAAAGCATCTTCTTCAGTCGTTTGACAACATAATTTCAATCAGAAATGGTTTGATTTAAATTATGATGAGATAATTACTTCTTGAATTTTAGAAGGAAACATATTTGTTTATGTAATGGATGCTTGGGAAAATAAAGCCTCAAGAAATGTTGATTTAAATGCTGATTGTAATCATAGAAAGACTATTAACAAATATGTTTTAATGGGCCTCTTTATTGTTTTTTTGTTTTTTTTTTTGGTGCAAAAAAAAGGTCTCAGTGAACATACAGTTTTTTTTTAATTCTAATAAAATATTTGTGCTTGAACATAACAAATTGCCACAAAATTGATTAAGTTTGGAATTTTCAACATAAATCCTTAAATATTCTATAGGTCTGATTATTCTACAAGCTAATTTTGTGCAAACAAATTACTTATTTTCTTTATATTCTGAAAATTTTACAGAGAAAAGATAGGAAAGGACAATTGGAAAAAAATAAGTTTAGACTTTTATTATGAAATTCACGCTGTCAAACTGACTTTTCAACCCTGGAAACAATAAATCCTATATCATCCTGTTGCATCTTTAATCTATTATAATAAATAATCAATCACAGAGGTGAAATATTCAAGCTTCAGGTTAGTTTCCTCCTCTGCTTTGCATTGATTTGATATTCTGAATATAGCTGCTGCCGCTGCAGCAGAGAAACATGCTTGGCATGTGGTCCCCCCTTGTCCTTGTGGCCCTTTAGAGGAGGACCTGAGAGTCTCTCCTGCTTTGAAGTAAATCACACCATTCCACCTACGGCAGCTACTTTTAAGTTCTCTGTGTCTTTCTTACTCTTATCTGCAGTTATTGTTTGCTGATCTGTGGCATGAGAGACTAAACCAGGCGAGGCCGGTTCTCGCCCTACAAGCTCCTAATCCCATTATCCACTTTCACTGTGGACAGGAATTCAGGATCAGGCTCAGACACCAACTCTGCGTGCTCTCGGGAGTAAACAGAGCTGGCAAGGCATCAAGACTCTCAGTCAAGGGCAGCTTCAGCAAACTCTTTTATAATGAAGATTAAGCAGAGCCAAAGTCAGTATTTCTCCAGTAAACAGGACACCGTTTGCTCTGTCACTTACTGCCATGGGAGAAGCATTCATAAGGCAGGTTTAACCTCTGGGAATCTCTCTTTATACAGGTTTTTAGCTTGTGCACTCTTACCAAAAATAATCTGTGAAGATATTTGATGAAACGACACCAGTTTTTAGGAGTAAACCTGTGGATTTCTTTATTATTTTTTTCAATGAATCACAGGTTTAATTAAGAGAAGAATGAAGAGAGATAGCAGAGCATACGCAAGCCTGAATGGGATTTATTAATCTAAGGTTAGTCAGCACTATCACTCCTTCTGAATTAGTCACACTCCCATTGCTTCTCTTTAATCACCATCTGTAATTTTGTCTGTCTGGTCTTCACGTTTAAGGAGATGAGATGTTGCCCCCTACTGGACAGAAACAAAACCAGCACTTGCTCAAATAGAGATCTCAGCACCTTTCATTCATTTGTTCTGATGCACTTAATCCTCTGGAGGCAGGCGTTGCAGATTTGCAACGTTAAAACCTACCTACCTACCTGGTTACTCCACATACGTATTTCATGAGCGTTTTGTTACTCAGAAGTGCCCCTGAAAGACTTAGTTGTCTCTTATTTAGAGCCAGAGAGGGTTAAAGAGACTCACCTGGTTTTGGTTTTGCAGCCGACTTCTTGCTGCTCCTTAATCAGAGCTGCTAGCTGCCGCTGGAGGGCCACGTCTCTGCCATGGGCCTGTTTGACGAAGGGGTGCTCCAGTAGGTGGGTCACGGATGGTCGTGCTTCGAAATCTTTTATCAAGCATCTTAAAAACAGAAAATTTCTTTGCGAATCAGCAGGAAAAAGAAGAAATGTCTTAAAAATGAACATAAATCTTTAACTAAGAGGAATCACCAAAATGTTGCAGCAGCCTGAACATTTATGTGGTCACTATCACTGTGGCCTGAGTCCAAACAGGCAGCACTAAAGCACAGCAGTTAGTCCTATCTGTGATGTGCAGTGTTTGCCTGCAGGATGTGTTACTTTCAGATATCTGTAAATAACTGAAGACTCCACAAAAAATAAAGAACACATAAAGCTTATTATTTATACGCTGCCAGGAAAAACAATGTCTAAATGACCAAATCCAGGGATGCATCTTTCAGTTTACTTGTTCGGCTAAAGATTTACAGCATCTAAATGAGTGTGTGAGAGCAACAAAACCCCAACAGGCAGAGCAAAGATAGCAGGAAAGCACCGTATTAGCTTCCATCACCTAATCACAGCTGGAAATTCTGTTGCTTTTATCAGTTTTGCTCGGCTCTGAAAGTTAATTCCAAGAATTCATTAGCGTCAGGACATTAAGCAGAGGTTGCTGCTATTAGCGGGGCTGTGCTGCAGAGATGCTGAACGGCAGACCACTTTGTCAACTGAAGTCAGCTTTTTCGCTGCACAAGTGCAGACGCTGGTGAAGGATTTATGATCCCAAACACACACACACACACACGCGCACACACGCACATACACAAGCGCACACACACACACAGGCTTTACGCGGTTGAAAAGGATTCACAAACCTCTTGCAACGTTTGATAACATTGTCCAGCCTCTCCACGCTGCGTGCATTTTGTTTGAGATTAATGTTGATATCATATCACATGATCCATCAACCCAAATTACAAAGCTGCAATCCACAACGTATCTAAGAAGAATCACTGCAAGTGTGCTTTAAAAAAATCATCAGATAAATACAGCTATTTGTAACACTGACCGTAATCAGCGGCTGAAATGAACTAGTTTGGTTTTTTGAGGACTCCTTCACTAATGCAAACATAAACATTAGCCAAAGCACAAATAATTCCCCCGACCAAATAAAATTTTATTATTTTCATTACAAGTCCAGCAAACGCACCTCTCTGCTGCAGATATTAGGGCTGTATATTCCCAGTGACCACTACAGGCCTCCCCTGCACAGCAGAGCAAATGATAAGTTATCTGTTCTTCTTTAGATAGAACGGATAACTCGGGCGAATTTGTTTGTTTCTCTGTGGCAGATTTACACAGATGAAAGTCAACGAACAGAACAAGAGGGAGGGAAAAACAATCTGGTTTCAGGTTCCTGCAACGCTTCCATGTGCAAAGCTGCAAAGTACTCACAACCCACATAAATGGCATCACGCCTCAGGGTTTAAACAAATAAGAAAAGCTTTAAATTAATGCTAATGAAAACATCATTCAACCCTTTAATGTTCAGGACTTCTTACTACTTCTGAAAAATATAAAAGAGACATAAAAAAATTCTTATTGAATATGGATATAATTTGTATTAGTACCATGCAGACCTGATTGATGTTAGAGAGTTGTAGTAAACTGATTAAAACAGTAATGTTCTATACTTGTCTGTACTACTATGCGGAGAGACCGGTGGTGCGTGTTTGGCAGTCTTCCTTCCATCAGTGTGCACCAGGGCAGCTGTGGCTACATCGTAGCTCATCATCACCAGTGTATGAATGTGTGTGTATGAATGTGTGGATGATTGATTGTGTTGTGAAGTGCCTTGGGGGGTTGTAGAACCCTAAGAAAGCCCTATATAACAACGGGACATTTTGTACTTGTACACAATATACTTTTGTATTTTCTATAGGCTTTTTCCTATTTTTCTCTGATAATTAAACATTTAAGCAAAAATGTAAAAAGTTTAAATTTTAAAAATACATTTTTACAAAGTCTAAGTTGTAAAAATTATAACAAAACAGCATTTGTATTATTTTAAATGCAGATGCAGAAAAAAAAAGACATTTCAAGTTTTTACAACATTTCCGTTAGAGTTTGTCATGGGCTAACTTTTTCATTGCATGGATTTTTAATGTGAAAATCCTTTAATTTAACACATTTCTTTGAATGTACCCTTTTAGCATAGTTGAAGTAACAATTTTAACTCCAGTGCATTTTGTTTGCACAGCAAATTAATGCTTTTTTTTGTTTTATATAGATCAATTACAGAACATGAAACTATTTTAATATTACATTTATAAGTAGCTGTGATATTTTGATTATTTTGATTAAGTTTGCCTTTTGGGGCATCTCCCTCTCTTAATATTTGAAGAGTTCATTTGCAGAAATAGATTAAAGCCACTGTTATCACCTGAAGTAAACAAATACACATCTTTACTTAGAAAAATAGTTATCTGTTTGAATAGATGACCTCGTTATTTTATTGTTCTAAAATGATCGGAACGTTAAAGGAAACTTACTGACTGATGAAGTGGTTGAAACTTCTACTCCACTGCTCTGGCTTTTGTAGCGTGGGTGGAGGATTTCTGCAACAAAACCACAACAAACACATGAAAACACAGACTTTGATAAAATACTTTAAATTGCATGAGACTCTGAGCATGTCTCCAGAGGGATTTGACAAATGATGGCAAGCAGGCAGGCAGGAAAAGTGCAGCTATGAGGACAGGCTGGTCTGCATCCAGGTTTGTGGCAGTAACAGAAAAAAGGTGACAAACGATAACGGCTCCTTTTAGGATCTGGCAGCGAGCATCTGCCATCGCGAGCCAAAAGTTATGGGAGATAGTTATACCTCTGTCAGCAGCATTTAGGGAGGCCATCTGTAATGAGGCTAACGCGTTTCAAGTGTGCAGGATGACAAGAGGCAGGGCCGTGTGAGGATCCAAGGCTGGACCGTGTCTGGGTACAGTCATGTGTGACAGCTGGAGGCTGAATCTTTCCTCGCTGCCGGGTAAACGCAGAAAAGTCCGATAAAATCTTTAGTTGCTGTGTTAATTAGCTCACAACGCTTTAAAGAAACTCAAATCCATAGGAGGAAAACTGCATTTAGAACATTGAGGGATTTTCAACGGCACGTATTTAACATTGCTTTTAATGCAAGAGGAGGATGTTAGAGTGCAAAATCTGTCATTTTCCACAGCTTTAAGTTAGCCGAGTCTTTCATAAGAACCCAGACAGCCAATCCTTTCCAAAGTGCAGATCAAAGCCAGGAACTGACTGTCTCAGTGTAACCTCTAATGTGAGCCTGAAGACATGTTCTCGCCTTGATCTGCTACCATACAGCTTATACATCACAAAGTCAATATAGCAGCGCTCTGCTGATAACACTGTCAAGCGCACTCATTGTGCTCTGCAAATTCACTCCTTTTTTTTAGTATTTACGTGAGTGCTGGCTCATATTGTAAACACAAATGGCTTATTCAAATTTAGGCCCAGGCAGCGCTGTTCTGTCGGCTGTTCCTCGCTGTGGATCGAGGCAAGAATAAAAATAAAAAACGGAGAGGTGTCAACAGCTTCTGACAGCTAGAACTAAACCACAGAAATAAGACAAAAATCAGACTGCTTGAATGGGATTAATGATGTGCATAATTTATAAATTCCTCACTTCCCTTTTTAAAATTCACAAAGCATTTATCGTCCCTAAAGACAATGAAGAAGGTTAATGAGCAGTTAAGGCTACAATTAGATCCACTTATTTAAAAGGTTAAATTCTGGTTTAAATGATGCAAAAACTATGTGGTTATTTTTAAAGGATTTTATGTTGTTTTAAAAACAGGATTGAAAGATTTCAGTATATTCTGCCTTCTTATGCTGCTTTTTGCTTGAACTATTCTGAAAGCAAAAAAGCTGCAAAACACTGAAGTTAAAAGGGAAAAAAATCCCCCAAACTGTAATAAGAACTTTAAAAAAAGATTTATAGTGCTCTTTTTCAGAGAGATCCTAGACATCAGAAAAGACTGATTCAAATGACCTGACTAGATATTATGAGGCTACAAAAGGCCTTGGCCCATGAAATTAGTCTTGAGGTCATAAATCAAGCATAAAATCCATAATGGTGATAAGAATAAACCAGCTTTTCCAAAAGGAAGGCATGTAATTCATCAGGTTTGATGAACAGAAAAAAAATGTAAATTTGCTGCTTCTTTAAAAAAAAATCAGATTTCTTTATTATAACTTGAGATGAAGTGAGTGCACGAGTGCAAAATAAAGTCCTCTTCAGCGAAGGACCTTAAAATTTCACTTCATCCATCACCCCGGCTTCAGCACTTCTTTGAGCAAACATGCATGAACAGCTGAGAGCTTCTCCTGCATTTATCATGTCACAGGCAGGTGCGTCACCCAGGCAGTCGTCTGGAACACCTCAGAGAGCCGAGGGGAAATAACTGCATCAGAGGTGGAGCTATTAAAGGAGTAACTCTAACAGGGCATGGATTTCATAACAAAATAATTTCTGGTATTTTTTAGTAGGTGAACAGTCGGAAGGAAACTTATTTAGAATTTAAATCTCCATCTTTAGTCTTCTTATATGCAAAAGACTTGGCTTGTCATGACTCGTGACCTTTGCTGCAGAAATATCCAGATGATGCATCTTCTTCAGACTGGTGACCTCCTGACTTTCCACCATCATTATTATCAGGCTGACATTTGTGGCTCCAGATGAACTGTTCCAAATTAGAGGTGCTTCTAACTTTTACCTGCACAATCTTTCCTACAGATGAACTCTACAAGGATGCATTTAGTTTTGTATCATTACATGAAAATCTTTGGCTATTGACGCCAGCCAAGAGCCAAATGTACTGTAGCACTTCTGGTGCATCAGAGCATCAGATCAGGCAGAAACACTTTCACAGAAATACTTGCAGTGTCAAAGTGACCGCATTGTAAAAGATTTACAACTATTTGAACAAATGTCGTTTAGGTGGCTGTCTACTATCAGCAGGTGAGATACACATTATTTATAACTTTTACACATTAACACTTTAAAATAGCATAAAATAATTCAAGTTTGGTCATTTAACCCTTACTTGCATTGAAGGGGCGGGGCTTATGCTATTTACTGCAGCCAGCCACTAGAGGGTGCTCATTTAATTTTTGCTGCACATTCTGGACTACTTTTTATGTGTTGTTTCCAAGTTTCTTGGCACTGGACTTCTCTGAATTCTCTTGCTAAGTTTTGTGATTTCCTTTAATCCATCTTCCTTCAGCTTGTTCAAATGGACAAAACCAGGATTCAACGTCCAAATATATCTGGATAAACAATCACAACCTTGGCTGTCATTGCCAACAGTTTTTAACCTTTACAACACATTTTCCATACACTTTTGTTCGACTTTACACAGACACTGTCAGACTTCCTGCCAGCTCCGGTAATTAACCTTTCTGCACATTAAATATCGGAGAACATCCTTGTCTCGAATGTGTAATTAATTTTGCAATTGGTGATTTTACAACTGGCGACATGTTCCATCACCTTCACTCATGGTCACCGTGAACATCACACAAACCTACCTGTCATGCATACAGTAACGCACTCAATGACCTTTAATTATAACAAAGATGAGGTGATACATGTTTTAAAAGAAATCAGATTACTTTAAAATCCATCTGAGTATTCAACATGTGCATGAACTGAAACTGTGTCACAACTCATCAAGCAGATATTTCTGGAACACAAACAGATGAAACGGGGTGACCTTAAAGGCATGCTATGAAACTTTTTCATATTTTTAAAATCATTTCCTTGAGCCAGAATGTGCTAAAAATGACTCTTTACAGGATTAATGAAAAGTCACTCAGACCCCACTGCCTTCTGTGGCCAGAATGTCACACTTGCAACTTCAGAGTGCCGGTCCAGTCCCTGTTGGACTTATGGGCCATTCCCATCTGTACCGGGTCGGCCCGGGCCGGGTAGCCCCAGTCGGCCCCAGCCTGGCCCGGTTGATTCCACACATCCTTGTCTTAAGCCCATGTGGGCTGATTCTACCCACCAATCAGAGGCTTGCTCTAATGGAAGGTGTGAATTTGCTGTCAGCAGTGCGTGTGTTGGCCCCGGTCGGCCTGAAGCAGACCCCCTCGAGAAGAGGGCTGAGAATGAGCCTTGGTTGGCCCGGAAAAATACCAGGCCACCCAGATATGTAAACAACCTACGCTACCCGGCCCGGGCCGACCCGATACAGATGGGAATGGCCCATTGGTAATGTGGAGCTGACATACCTGGCACTGGAGTCTGCTTTCAATACATTTCCTGCATATTTCAGATCGTGAACACAGCTGATTTAATTAATTTAGTGATGAATCACTCCTCTAGAAACTAATGAAGGCTGAGGAGACATTTCAGCAGTTAAGTTAAGCGCCTCGTGATTTTTATCTTGAGAGGCGCTATAGAAATTATGTTTTCTTCTTCTTCTTAAATTAATGTGTTAAAAAGACAAATGCTAACTTTTGGTTTGATTAACAGACACTAGGGGGTACTGAAAGTATGCCAAAGTATTGCTTTAATGCATCAAGCTGATCAGCATCCCCTCTGACAGGTATCAAAGCTTTTTAAAGAGGTTTTAGAACAAGCTCCTATAAAGCTTTTGTTGCGGCTCAAAATAGCCAAGAAGCCCGGTAAATGGCCGAACACAACATGAGAATAAAAAGTGGGGGAGGGGTAACTCAGGAACGAAGTTAGTGCCCAGCTGATGTCTGTTGGACCTGTGGAAAAGGTGGGGTTGTGTACAAAAGAGGATTGAAGTGAGTGTACAGCGGGTTGTAGCAGGGGGCGGAGTTGCAGATGGAGGAAGTGAGTGTGCACCTGATGTTTACAGAAAGGTGGGAGGTGAGGGATGGGGTGCAAACAATAGCGAAAAGGACAAGGACCATATGCTGTGGATCCGTCTGGCATTGATTCAAAGATGAATTTACGTAGATATTCCCACTACATCCTGGAACATGAATGCTCCAACATTATTCCTTGCTGTTTTCCTTTTGATCAGTAAGAATGATAGCAGAAGCTTGGGCTAGCATTAGTAGTAATTCTGAATAGCAGTAACAGGAGCTTAGGCTAGCATTAGCAGTATCTCTGGCTAGCGGTAACACGAGCTTGGGCTAGCATTAGCAATAGCTCTGACTAGCATTAGCAGTATCTCTTGCTAGCAGTAACACGAGCTTGGGCTAGCATTAGCAATAGCTCTGACTAGCATTAGCAGTAACTCTGGTTAGTGTTAGCAGCAGCTCAGGCAAGCATTAGCAGTAGGATAACATTCCACAGTTAGCATTACCCCCACCAACATTTGTATGCATGCAGATGCTGAAATGGGTTGGAACATGCTAATTTAAGGTGGGGTGTCTAAGCTTGTGACATGTTAAACCAGCTTTTCTCAGAACAAACTATCTCTGTGGACATTACAATCTTACTCATTTATATGGGAAAACGTTGGAGATGGCACAGACTTTTTGGTATGCTCGTTAGACACCCCCAAGCTGCCAACAACAACAAGGTAAATGTGGTTTTAAATTCACATGAAGAATAATCCGCACCCGTGAGGATTTTCCCAATAAAACGATGTCATGTTGGCCCCCAGAGGCTGGAAGAGTATGACACTGTTTTACCACCACCAGCACTTCAGAGAGGTAAAACAGGGAAACCTTTAGCCTGGAGACATTACTGTGTGTCGCAGTAAAAGATCAGAATGATAAAAATGCTTATTGCATGTTTTAGTGCACATATCAGCTTCATAAAACATGCACAACCTAAGGGGAAAAACTGTTTTCCCAACAGTGTGTGACATATTAAAGTAAGAAACTCAGAATTATGAAACTCACGAGGATAAATCCCTCCAATGTCATCATGAATCAACGGCACCTCCAAAGACCTAAAGGTGAAACACGTTTCCTTATTTAGAAAGTAATCCATTCAGGAGCCATGCAAGCATTTCCTCCTGAATTCATCTGCTGCACAGCCGTGTCGGAGGTGGAATGCATTTGAGATAAATGTCATAGTAAAAGAATCATTTCATGGCGCTACACGTAGATTTATTTAACAACCACTAAACCTTTAAGGCCACAATTCAAAGGAGTGTCAGGTGAAGATCCAGCTTTCTCAGCACTTCTTTTTTGTTTATTTTCAAAAGTGTCAAAAGTGAAAAAGAATTTTGTGTAATTATTTTAAAAAAGCATAAACACAAAAAAATACATTAAAAACTGTTATCAAGAACAACGTTCCCTGTGAGAACTGAACTCATACCACCATCAGCCAACCCTTCTCTTGTAATCAATCCACATTTGGCTAAATTTTGGTGCTGATGTAACACCGTTGCACAGGCGCACATAATTCCTGCTCCAGCGTCCTGGCGTGGAGGAGATAATATTGTGATGGGGGAGGGAGGTGACAGCCTCATCTCAATGTGAATGGAGCTAATCACTAATGCAAATTGCAATCAGAGGGGCATATCTCTTGCTAACTGAGAGATAATTGCACGATTGTGCTGATAGCAGAAGGTCAAACGTGCGCAGCCTAAGCTGCCTTAAGGATAATCAGACACGTGAATATTTTAACGGAATTGGATCTCTTTATTTTTACTTTAAAAACAAATGTTTCTTGCCTTTTAAATGTTATGATATTATTCTATTTTCAGACAAAGACGCTAAAAACCAATCATTTCCAAATATATTAATACAAAAATAAATAGAGCTAGCTGTCAGCAGAGCTATTATCATTTCTCTGATTATCACCTCTTGTGTCTCATTGTCTGAGCATCTTTGTGTGGCCTGCCTCCAGTCGTGTGGCAGGAGCTCCCTCTTCTGGACTCACCGTGGGATCTTGAAGAGGGCTTTGACTGGATGCATCTCAGCCAGTGGGGGGTCTCCCTCTGCAAGCTCGATGGCTGTGATGCCGAGAGACCACACGTCACAGCGGGCGTCGTACGAGGAGTCGTACTGCTGTTCACACGCTATGACCTGTAACACAACAACAACCATCTGTTAGGGTAGGGACCACCGTCATAATGCATTTAGTGGCCTGAGATGTTTTAGACAAGATTTTAAAATAAGTGTCAAGGCTGATGTTAGGGGGTGAGTGTCTGCAGGAAAATGCAGTTCATCCCTTTATTCAAACCAGTACATTTTATTTCTCAGATGTTTATACACAACATTTGTCATTAATTGGCTCAAGTGAGGCATTTTATTTGATGTGCAGATGCAAGCTGTTCACTTTTGCAGACTTTTTTTAAAGCCAAGTGCATTCAGTTTTATTTGTTTTACCCATTTTTAAGATGACATGCACAGGGAAAGCATTTCACCTGAACTTCATTCTTTAATAAACATTTTGGTTGCTATTTGGCTTCCAGTCCAGTCTGAAATGCAAAACTGCATTTTAAAGCAAACACATTCTGCAAAATTCACCTTTTGCATCCTTTCGTGCTGCCACGAAGGTATTTATTGCCTCTAGAAACACTCCAAACATGAAAAAAAAAACGATTAATTTTCTGTCCATGTTTGATGTTAGGAATTGTGTGATAAAAACAAGGTATTTCAAAAAGTCCCCATTTGTGACATCACAAACAAGGAAATTGGGTCAGAGATCAAATTCCCTCTCCAGGCTGGAGGAACAGTAGCTCTACTCCGAACTCCTCACTGATATCAGAGCTTCTCAGCTCATAGAAGCTTGAGCAGGGGGTGAGTGGGCATTGCCAACTCCAGCTTGTTTTCTTAAAGTTACCTTGAAAGCCTTGAAATGGCCCATTCTGGAAGGTACTGAAATTTTCTAGAATAAAACTCCTAAAATTGCTTAATGTAAGAAAGATTTGGTGCCAGGGAAAGAATAAATATGTTTTGTATTTACCACAGCACTATTAAAACTTAAGAAAATAAAGTCATTATGTCCGTTTAACTTCACTTAGTTTCTGATAAAGAATGACCCAGTGGGACAAATGTTCGATTCAACTCACGGCAAGAGTCTACTCATGGCACTTCACAAAGTAAACATTGCAATACAGTTTAGTTCGTTAAGCCAATCAGTAAAATGTTTTCTATATAAGAAACCCAGCAGATTGCACCAAGTCACTGACTGGCATCAGTGTCTTTGCAGCAGTCCTCATGCTAAGCAAGCATGTGGAGACAGTGGAGAGGAAAATGTGGATGTTAGAGTGAGGGTACATTGAATTTCTGCATCAGATTGTGTTCTGTTTTTTGAGGATAAGCTGTCAAGATGGATTATGTCTTAGGAAAGCTTAGATTAAAAATAAAGTGAAAAAATCCTCAAAACGGACTAAACTCAGATTGGTCTAGACATTTTTTGATTTTTCTCTAAGCACTGCGTCCAAATTTAAACATAAATTGCACAGAGAAAATCTGCGTGATTATTACCAGAAATATGTTCATAGTTCTTTATTTTCTATATCTCTGTCTCACTCACTTACAGCTAAAACCTCCAAGAGTTCATCGTTTTTGCTCTAAAGGACGTCAGTTCAGTAGCTGCTGGAGTGGAGTGAGCTCCTCTTTTCCACAATCAATAATTATAAGTGACATTACATTTTACAGCCGAGTTTATTCTAATTGCCCCTGAGGTCCCTCCTGACTGGCGCAGTCACTGTGTCTCATTTCTGCCAAAGAGTAAGCCGAGGGGGCCTCAGACTCCCAGCTATTAACCTTGAAGCAACCTCGAGAGCTGCAGCCGTGGAGGAGAATAGGAGGGGAATACAGAATACCACGGTGGAGAGAGGCATGCTCTGTGCAACACACAAAGACCTCGCTGTTTTAAATGAAACCATTAGGCACTAAAATATGTCGCACGCTTTAGTGCTGCGCACATGTGTCAAACTCTGACCTCGGGAGCCATCCAAAACGGCGTCCCCACGGATGTGTTCCTCCGCAGCCGCGCGCTTGTTAGTTGAGCTGAAACACCTGCAGAAATGTAAAATAAATCCAAGTTAAATGGATATTTAGCTCTCGCCCTAAATGTGTGAATTAATCAATAAATCTTAGAACAGGATTTATTGTGGCAGCCTGCCAAGCCGCAACAGAAATGGGCTATAATCATTTCAAATTATGCAGGACAGATTTTTATCAGCATGAGTCCACTTCATCTGTGTGACACAAGGGACATAAACACGCCTGGGGGGGGATTCAAAGTCATTTGCCACAGCTTTCTTTTAATATGCAAAGCATCAAATGATGCATTTTAAATGAGCAATAATAGCCTTGGGTAAAGGCTACGGTCTATGAAATAAAAATATGTTATAGTGGATCAAATGATTCACTCTGCGTTTGTTGTCACAATCAATGTTGCAGCTAAAACTCCCCCCCCCCCCCCCCCCCCCCCCCCAAGATGATTTGCCTAACAGAGATTTGGTTAAATTTTCTCCTTGAAAGGTTATTACCAAAGTCAACCAGTTTCACTCCCCCTTCCGCCGTCAGGAGGATGTTGTTGCCTTTGACGTCACGATGGATAATCCGGTTGTTGTGCAAATGTTGCAGACCCTTTCAGATGATAAAAACAAGGTGTAACTCATTCAGTCATTTGTGTAAACTGGAATATGACTCATTAAAAATCAATCATTTCAGATGCATGTTTGCATCTGATGTCCGCTTTAGCTCATTTGATTGCAGAGGGCCGTCTCACCAAGAGGGCGCTGCACAAGATGTATGAGATGACGGGCTCCTGCAGACGCTGGCCGTGCATGATCAGGCTTTTGATGAGTTCTGTGACAGAGCCGCCGTTGCACAGCTGGGAGGGAGACAGGGGAACACTGGTGACTCAAAAGCACGAGTCATGGGGCGGGCTGGCTTTGATGTTCACAGGTCCCAAGTCACCTGACCCCATCATTTTATAATTTGTTTTGGGTTTCCTTTGAATCATGTGACGTCTCACATGTCAGTCAGGTACAGGTAAACACTTTATATGTCAAAATGACCCACAAGATGGTTGGATGGTTAGTGAAATGATCAAATATTTGAAATAAAGCCAATAAGACACATTTGAAGAGCTCACCTCGAGGACTAGCCACAGCTGACCACCAGATGAGTTGTCGGATTTGTAAAACATGCCGTAAAACTTCACCACATTAGGGTGGTTGGACAGAGACTTCAGAATGTTATATTCTGCCTCGATCTCCTCGTCCACATCCTTTAGAGAGCACGAGCAGACAAGAGAAGTTAAAACTGTCTTACCATGAGCACATTGTAGAATTAAAAGGTGGATTTCAACCATCCTGATGTGCGATTTTGTGTAAAAGTCATAAGTAACTCATAATTTACCCACAGCCTTTGTTCAGACGAATAGCTTTTTTAATCCTGTAGGATGTAAACACTAACGATTAGCCCAAGCACATGTAAAAATAAACGGTGTTTCTGCTGTCTTAAAATGACTCTAATCTCCAAACTTTTATAGATTCATGCAAAATTTTCATTTTAAATGTTGTCAAATTTCACATTACTTATTACATTATTATTATTCATGAGCATAACTAGCACCATGTAGCACTTTCACTGCCAAAATAATTTGTTTACTTGAACTAGCCGTTAGCTCATCAGTCCTGCAGCATGTAAACTCTATTTCTCAGAACAGAGGCCCTACAGGAAGTCAGAGGGCCATAGATTAATTATTTTTAATAATTGTACATTTATACATTTTAAAATGACTGAAATATACTTTTAAAGGTGTGGTTTACTCGTTTATTCAACACATTTGCAGTGTTCTCCAGTGTAAATCGATGCCTTATGAGTAAAAAAAAAAAAAGCTATGATGCTTCTGTTCTGAGATGCAGAAGTTTGCTGATGCAGAGGTGGGCTGAAAACAGCAGCACTGCTCATTATTATTAATGATATGCACACACCTCGCTTCTGATTGGCTAACACATTAAACCATGTTGCAAAGTCACCATCACTGACACACTCTCCGCTCTGTACCCGCTGCACTTTTTTTTAAAATGTTTATGTATTTAGCAGATGCTTTTGTCCAAAGCGACTTACAAGTGATAATCGGCATGTTGCCCTTGAGGCTAACAACAACAATAACAACAAGTTGACCTCAATCGTGGAGAGGAGGGAACAAGGAGTGGACGGTAGAGAGGGGGGACGGGTGCAGGGAGGGTGCTAGTTTAGAAGATGCTCTCTGAAGAGCAGGGTCTTCAGGAGTTTCTTGAAAATTGAAAAGGAAGCCCCTGTTCTGGTAGTGCCATTCCACATTTGTGGAACGATGCATGAGAAGAGTCTGGATTGTCCTGAGCGTGGTGTAGGCACTGCTAGCCGACGATCCTGTGATGACCAGAGCGGCCGGGCCGAGACGTGAGCCTTTGCAAGAGGATTCGAGTAGATGGGAGTCGTACCATCTTGGACTTTGTATGCTAGTGTTAGTAATTTTTAAAGCCTTCCTGTGGGCAGGCATGAATCAAGATGGGTGAGGCCATGAATGCTGATTCACAGTGTGACATCACAGTGTGAGGATTTTCAAATCCTAGCGTTTCACCATTTATGTTTTTATCAGAAGCTAATGCAGCAGATAGGTGTAGGAGACTATTTTCATGTTCAGGCTGCATGAAAAACTCACAGTGACCAATTTTAATCAGAAATAATCATTAAAACATATTTTTTCAGGCAACCACACCTTTAAAAACCTTTCAAGCTATGTTTTGATTTGAATGATTGTGAAAACAAAAGAATATGCTGTAGTTATAATTAGAAACTTAAAGATTGGGTTATAAACCAAAGAGCAGGATGGGCTTGTGTAGCTGAACTATTTCTGGAGGCACTTTTCTATCAAAGTAAATCTCAGAGGGAGAGAAGATCAACAGTCACAGAGGCAGAATTTCTCCTCCTGGATGTCTGAGTGATAGTGTCAGTAGTCTAATCAGGGAGAGGGATGGGACAGGAGGCAGCTTCATCTTCTTGGCCATCGGGGGGCATCACATGGTCTGGAAGGGGGTTATTTTGCTGACACAATCACAGACAAGTCTCACACCAAATCAGCGCTACTGTGTGCTGCCAATGCAGACTCTTCGGCATCCTCATCGCCCAGACAAATGAGCGGATGCACAGAGAGGAAACAGCCAACTCAGGAGCTACACTTCCTGGTAAGAGTGTGCTAGACTCAATGTGACAGGATAGAAATAAAACAGGGGGTGCCGATATACATCACAGAGGCAGGGACGGGAGCAACTGCATTGAGTTGGAGAGAAGAAATAAAAAGGAAAAGGAACCTACTCTGTTTGAGTGACTTGAGTGCTGGGACAAATCAAAGGGTTACAAAGAAAAACAGCAGCTTTAGTCTGTGCTCATTTAGCATTAGTGGACAAAAAGATGTGAGATTTAAATAATCACAGAACATAAAATATAAAATCTTTTTTAGAGAAAAGGTAAGACTAAAAAATGCTTTTTCTAACGTCATATAATAGCGTCAGGACAGAAACTACTCATGCTGTTAAATGATGACGCTTAAACATGAAAAATCAATGCATCAACGATCAGAAGCCTCGCAAAATTAAACAATAAGCTCTTTTTAAGAAGTCGATTGGTGTAAAACAGGACCAGGACTTGCAGCTGTGCATGTATCTCTGTGAAGCTGCACTTTCACACAACAGTTCTGCAAAACCAACATTTTTCACGCTCATGAATTTTTACCATTTGCTTTATATTCATGTGACTTTTGAGCATCAGTCTTTAAAAGAACTAAATGTAAGATTTTGCTGGTAGGTTTAACCTGATGATGCTTTTGTTCATCAAGACCAAATAACATTTAAAATGCTTTAATTTAAAGGTTTGTATAACATATTAATCATGACCAAATAAATTATTTTGTGCTCTTCTGGTCTTAAATTGATGAAAAAAAAACGTATAAATAATTCTGTAGTTTGGATCAGGTGTGTTGATGCCATCAAGCTGAAAGTTTCATGTCTGCACAGAAACCTAAATTCTGCACCAGACTGAGGTTCATGTGACTCACGTTGATCGGGTCCAACACCTTCACCGCTGCCTGACTTCCGTCCTTTTTGTTGGTCACTTTGTAGACTTCCCCGTACGTTCCTTTGCCGATGGTTTCCACTATGTCCCAGTTTTCCGAAGGATCGCCAAGGCTCTCCAGGCCAATCATGCTGGATTTGTAGGGATACAGTCCGTAAAGGGTTCTTCTGGAGAATGAACCCAGATCAGATAGTGACTTTTATTGTTTGTGTCAAAACTAAGGAAATGTTACTCCATCCTTAATGATGCAAGTCTTTGTGTAGCAAACAGAAAGCGTGAAGTGGATGACTGAGCCACAAGACAGAGATTTACAGTAAAAAAAATAAAGCTGTTGAAATATTCAATTTAAAGATTGCACAAACAAAAATGATGAGGCAAGAAAAATCTAAACAAAAGCAGAGTCACTATAGCTACACCAGTACTTACATGGCAAGTGTTATTTTCTTCTGACTCATCAGGGCTGAGAAAATTTACAAGTAAAGAGTCTCTGGTGATCATAATAGAGCAACAGCAGCAGCTTCCTCAGGAGGACACAAGCGCTGTTTCACAGTCACTGAATTAGTCGTCTCTGCAGAGACCTGGCATGCACGCTAAGAACCGCAATCTCCTAAAGATCAATTGGATTGGTTAGAGATTATCTGAGCTGAAGCAGCAAACTGGAATTGCACCAACACACAAGCAGTTTTATGAAATGATTATTATTAAAATAAACTTTTTTATGTTCAGTTTAAAAAGATTGACATTTGTGTGCCTATAAGATGAACTTCAACACTGTAAAAAAGGAAATACTGAATTTACTTAACCAAGTTACTTTATCTGGTTCCATGAAACCTGGTTAATTAAAGGAGCAATAAGTAAGAATTTTAAGTGAAATAATCTAAAAATAATGTCTCAGTCATGTCAGAAGGAAGGTTATATTGAAACAAATTTCCTTCTCAGCTGGCTGGGGGGTTGCCAGTTTTTCTCCTTTTAATAAAGCTAAAGAGGAACTTTGTTTACAATCTGTCCCATCTCCATACTTCCTGGTTCCAGAGCCAATTACATCTGAGCTTGTGAGGTTGCCAAGTCTGTGCTGGCAAACACTGCTGCGCCCACATTTGTAATTCAACACTGGCTGACAAAAAAGCAGCGGAGTTGTAAACAGAAGCGACCCAGAAGGTATTTCTTGTACCCCAAAGAAGCCACAGCATCTTTTTTATATTCTAATATCGGGTTTAAAAAAAGGCTAGAGGCTAACAATGCTACCGGTGAAATAGAAAAAAAAATATTGGCTCAAATATTTCCCAAGCTACTTTTCAACAACTTGATATTAAAATGTATTTTACTACTTATCAATTTACTGTGCATGACCCGTCTTCACTCGTCATCTAGAAACTTCTGGTGCTGATCCGTTACTGGCAACTGCTGCTCAGAGGGCCAAAATTTGACCAGGATGTCAGTCTTACTAGATGCACTTTAAAAGTAAGGAGTAATATACATTGCTATGTGTTGTGTTAAAAGTAAATCTTTATATTTGCACAACTAGGTTTAATGGAACAAGTTGACCAAACGGTTAAGTGAAATTAACATTTTCTTTCTTAGAGTGAAAGTGGCTGCATTTCATAAAATAATTCTTAGTCCAAGCTGTCGTGATGGAGAGGAGTGTTTGTTTCCATCTCTTGACTGATCCTCTTGTCATAAACGTGTTAATGCATCAGATTGTGTGACCCTGAGGGGAGAGAACTCTCGTCTTTTTTTTTCACTGCGATCTGAAAACTGATGTGAAAAATTATGTTTAACCCCCGTCACACAGAGACAGGTTTATGAATCGCATGCCAGCGGATATTAGATGGACTCAAATATGCAGCTGAAAGATACAGCTGATATCCTCCTGCAATGTCCTTCATGAGAAGGCAGAGCTGAAGCTGTGCATTTTTACTCTGCACATTTGAATAAAAACATACCTCAAAAGCATTCAGCCTGATACTATTACCTACCGTAACTGTTGCAAACCTAGTCATTCATCTTGAACTGGATGTGAATAATGCATCACACGTGCCGTAGTACGCTACAGGACTACAGAGGTTCGCTTAACGTCTACTACTGCAGCTCTGTTTTTGATCCACATCCTGTATGGAGCAAATAACCAGCCATTTCTCACCAACAGCTAACACAAACTCCTTTAATGTACAGTTCCTATCCCTATTTGTGTCTCAAATAACCCAAAGCAGAAGAAAAGTCCTTCATAGTACCAACATTATACTCAAAATTCTAATTGTTTTTGTAAAACGTGGAGCTGCAAACATAAAAAGGTGACTAATTCATATCAATGCAATGTCAAGTTTTAAATAATTCGCAAAGAACTTTAAAGAAAATAAAAATTTCATTTCTAAAACATTCATTACCTATATTAGATTTTTTTTTAAATCTCCAGCTCATGAAGCCTCAAACCAAACATACCTGCTTCTGTCAAAGTGTCTGTTGCTGCCTCACATCAAACCGCTCCGCACTAATTTAGACAATCTACAGGGATTAAAAATTTACCAGTAATCTGCAACCGTGCTGAATTATTCAAGCAGCAGATGTAGCCGCTCATAATGGTGGCCGACATGAAGCAACTCAAGTTGCAGGCAGGTAACCAGGAAGTTAGTGATAGTTACTAAGTCATGTGACCTCTGAGCTGCTGCTTCTTCGTGCTCCATTGCATCGAGACCACTAATTCTGAAGATTAAAATGCTGTTTTGATGTCTGTTCTTAATATTTTAACCAAAAACGACAATTGTTTTTTATGTTCCTGAGGCTCTGCTAATTAAAGAGCTAGTAGAAATGGAAAATGTTCCCTAACAAAAATTTTAGGTCTCATCAGATTAAAATGACTCAAAAACAAATGCTTTAGGATCTATTTTAGAGGTCAAATGACGAATTTAAGAGGTCATTTATACTAACAAAACATGAATTAGGTAAATTTCTAGATTTTTGTTGCTCATTTTCTAAATAATAGCCTTTTTTCACATTAAACTACAGCAAGTATACTAGTAATCTGAAATGGTTATTTAATAAAATAGCAAGAAAGAGATCACAGTAAATCAATCCCAATTCTAGTGTTTATTTAAAAAAGAAAAATTGGAGATGCTTCAGAGAAATTTTATGTATTAAAGGAGATATTTTTATATATATTTTATTAAGTTATAATTCTATAATCTATATTAAACATGTTTATGAAGTTCTTTGATTTCCACAGTTTTGTTGTTGACATTTTCAGTACCTTCTAGAATGAGCCGTTTCAGGGCTCTGTCACTTTAAGAAAACAAGCAGTTGTGTGCCACACCCTCCCCTCCCCTGCTAGGGCTGCTATAAACTAGCTGAGATGCTGCAATTTCCAGGAGGGGTTTGAAATAGAGCAGCTGCTCCTTTGGCAGCAACTCTCTCTTGCACAAGAGCTGGTCTATCTAATTTCCCCGTTTGTGACATCACAGACAGACAACTTTTTAAATGGCTTATGTTACGCGCATTATTCCTAAAACCAAAGACCGACAGAAAACATATTGATGGACTTTATTTTTTTCATGTTTGGAGTGTTTCTAAGGCAGTGGAGACCCACGTGGCCATACAAACGAATTCAAAAGGTAAGTTTTGCGTAATATGTCCGCTTTAATACCAGGAGCTGAAAAAGAACCTAAATGATGAACAGCTTAGGAACTGAACACCCCTGATGCTTGACAGTGAGGCTCTTGTTACGCTTTGTTTTCCAGACTGTGTCAGCATGACTGAAGCAAGGGAAGTCACATCTGACTCACATAAAAGTCAACGCTTTGACTTTATATTCTACATGAGTGTTTTTTGTTTATTTTATTTTTTGTGAGTTTCATAAATGTATGATTTTAACAAACTATTTTAGGTTAAATAAGCTGTAGACAAGCTACAGATATTTGTTATTTAAAAAAGTACAAAGTGAAAGTAACTAATCTTATTTTCTGCTTTCATCAAGCTCAAACAATCCCAGACCCTTTGAGAGAGACTCATGGGAACTCTGCTTGGTAAATCCTTTAGTAGATCTGCAAGGGAAGGAAAAAAAAGAAAGACTTTAATCCCCTTAAAGGGGATCTGAAGAGGCTTTACAGTAAACCTCCTCCGGCCACAAGCGGGACCTGAACCAGCATGCTCTTGCCCTCACCCTGATGGCCAGCACCTCCCTCACATCAACATGGTTTTATGTTTAATCACCACACAGGTGCAGGAGAAACTCAGAATAAACAAAGCATAACATAAAGAGGAGGAAAAATATGTGTCATCTAATCCCAAACAGCACAGCCGGTTCATGTGATGCAGACCAAACACTACAAGGTTAGCAACCGAGCTAAACAGTCAGAGAGCAAAATGAAAGAAAGAAAAAAAGAAACACTAAAAGAAGCTATTTTTGCATCAATAACTACATGTGCAAAATGATTAACATATGTAATGAAACTTTCCTCAAAAGACTCCTGTCATTTTTCATTTGTCTAAATCTACAGTTTGAAAACGTGTGTGCTTTTCAAAATAAAAGCATGACCAACTTTGGGCTCCGTACATTTTTTTGTTTGATCGTTCGTTCACAGAAACTGCTAAGTGCAAACATGTCCTGTGAGAATTTGTTTAAAAATGAATAAAAATTTGTCTCTAATACAATCAAAACTGTTTATTTTTCGTAATTTATTGCTTTAAAAAAACTGCCATTTCAGGAATGTAATCCTTTTGTTTGCTGATGAAAAACGATCTAAATGGGTTTTAAATACTATAAAGTAAATCATTTAAAATGCAAAATGAACAGTGGTGGTCGGAGTTTAAATATCATGAAATGTTCTTACCTCGACATTGCTGCTGTTCCATCTGTAACATCTGCAACAGGAGACGGTCAGTCACAAAAGGACCTCTGCATTTATCTTATTTCCTTCAACAACACTTAAAGGTTCAATCCGAGACAACAAACATGTTTTCACTAGTGTCAATCTGAGTTTTACATGCAGCTTCTCCTCTGAAGCAACAGATTCACTGATTTGTTCTTGTTTACTCGACGAAGGACTTGAATTATTAAGTGTGCTGACACCTGAGCATGCTATCCTGCAGAATGGAAGCAGTTTGAACTGAAACGTATACAGCCTACTCATGATGCGAGGGAACATACCTGCACAAGTGGCAAAGGAGGAAAAATCTGGTAAGGCCTGTTGCAGGATCCCCTGCATCTTTCAGCCTGGAGCTCACAGAAATTTGGATTTCATCAGTTTGAAAGTCCTCTGCCAGCACACAGCGTTTTTCTTTTCTTTCTACCTAATTGGCAGAAAAAGAGGCTTTGAGCTGTGATTGGCCAATATGCACAGGGCCTCCCTTGTTAATGAAGTGCACACAAATTATTTTGCAAATGCATAAACCACATGACCTCTCGAGAGCAACCCATAGAAAAATGGCCACCCTACAGTTCCCCTTCAATTACATTCATCAGCTGTTACTGAATAATTTATTGCAATTACTTAGTGCATCAGCTCAGAGTTGTCTGGAATCACTCTGGATTTGACCTTTGACAGTGAGACCCCTAGTGGCCACTTAGTGTTATTTTGACATTAATCAGTACTTGCAGACTGATGTTGGTGAAAATTGGCTGTTCCTCTGAACAGTACTAAACTTGAGCATGAATGACAATTCAAAAACAAGAAAAGAGTCAAATTAGTGTGCTTTTTTCTTTTATTCACATATGTTACATTTTGCATTAAATGTCCAAAGTCATAAATCCTGGTCAAACTCAAAAGTTTGAGTCAGCACCTACAGTAATGTACTGTATTCTCTCGTCATTCACACAGGAAAAACACACCGAAGCTCTCCGTTACGACTTACACCCATCACTCGTTGGCTGTTGCGGTCATTTACAGAGTGGGAATTGCAAAAAAAATGAATAATTTAATGAAAATGAGAAACCCAGCGAACAAAAAAACCGCATGAAAAATATTCTAAAGGAAGTTCTGAATTTCTCTGATGATTCCAAGACGTGGCTCGGCATTTGCAAACAGCAGGAATGTCAGCCGTTTATTCACTTGGCAAAATGCATTGATGCACACGAATGAATGAAATTTCCTCTTTTCTAGAAAGAAATATGATCAGAAAAATGAAGTGGCTTAAAGGACGTCATGCACAAGAACGGGTACTGAAGTTGGATATTGTAAAGTCGGAATGCAACTATGATTCACAACTACGGGAGTTTGAGATAATCATAATAAATGTATCTGTTCGGCACTGAAAGAACAATTACTTCTTACTTAATAGATCTGATGCCATAATCAAAGTGCTGAGTTTTCCCAATGAAAATAAAAACGGATTCCTGATTTTCACCTTCAGATTAAAAAAAAAGAGCGATTAGATACCAGGAGTGGGTGCAACCCAGCAACGACCCTAAACATTAAAGTGAGTTTGATAGAACAATGCCAGCCATCTACTGTAAACTCAAAGCACAATCTTAGAAAACAAAATCTTCACAAAAGTTAAAATTACTGACTTGAACAATGAGCAGCAGCATTTGTTTTTTTTATTTTTTTTTAAATATCTAAAAACAAACAGCAAAAAAACACCCAAAAAAGAAAAGAAAAAAATTTCCTGAGGATGGATTGCAACTAGACCCAGACAGAGGCTTTGCTTGTTCGCAAAGGAAAACTCTCGAGTGTTGACGCTTGGACTTGGTCTTGCCCACCATCAGCAGAGGGACGAGTGCAAACTGCAAAAAAAAAACATGGCTGCACTCATCAGGAGCTTAAAACTCATGCCAGCACAGCAGAGTCCGTTTTGATAAATAGAATGGATATGTAGTAATAAAATAGAAAACGGTGCAAAAACGATCATTCCTGCAGAGACCTTCAATTCTTGATATACATGAGTTTTTTCCTTTTAACCTAAACAAGCAACGCCTTTTAAAGTCCACTCCAATGAAGCCAACTTAATCTCTGGGTAAAGTTGTGCTTTATAAAAAAAATTTAACTTCAGCCGCATTCAGTTGTGCTTTTCCCTGCTGAAGACCACACAATAAATCACCTGAACACACACACGAGTGTTTTAGCTTTTCGGCGAGACTGTACACCAAACTTCACGTACACCGAACGCCTCCCTGGGTGTTTTGTGTTTATCAAGTTAAAACTACCCAAGTATTTCGATCAAGGCAGACACGAGCCAGGAAAAAATGATAATAACTATAATATGTTTTTAAAAGACTCCATGTTGGGTTTTATTTTCATTCGGAAGACCTTAGAGTCCGTTGTAGTGAGGCCCCCAACGTTTATTGATGTGATCAAAGGTGTGAGAAACCCACTGCTGCTCCAACACTCGATACCTCTCCTCGCATAAGAAAAGGGGCTTTCCACGGCTGGAGGGGGGGAAAAGCACAGGACAATAAAGCGTTCAAAATTCACAGATAAACCAGAAAAGACAAGAAAAAGTTCAAGGCTTCAAATGCCCTTGCTTTCTTACCGTAGGTCGCGATCTTCTTCACCGTGAGCATCGAGGTAAACCGAGCCCCACAGACAGAAACGGTGTCCACGGATGATGATGATGACGGAGGCATTAATCAGCAGGAAGATGCCTGTAGCTGCGCCACAATGTTGGGAGTGCTACAAGGTGACACGAAAAACAAAAAGCTATGAAAGAGAGCTGAAAATTAGGCGCCCTTCGAAAGAAAACAGAAAAAAAAATCCCCTGAAAAACCACCTGAATGCAACATGTTTAAAGGTATTCTGGAAACCTGATAAATGCTTTTGGAGAAACTTACCAACACACATTCACAGGTCCCCTGCTGTTTGCAGCACACGCCTTTGAGACAGACAAAAGTGCCGCACACAAGGCAGAGTGCGGGGTCTTTTGGCACCTTTTTGCAGACAGTGCAGGCCTTTCTGTGGTAGTACTGGAAGATGATATTATAGTTGTCAGGTAGCTGGAGAAGACGAGGGGGCGTCCACTGAGGATCCTGGACCAGCAAGGTCTACGCAGAAAAGAAAATAATAAAATAACTTATTTTCCACTCAACTGTTGGGGATTTATTTGGTCTTTGCTGAATAAATCTGGCAGGTTTGAGTTTTAACGACGTCTTTTGCTGGGATCCTTATAAACAATCCTTTCATTAAAGATTATCCTGACTCGGTATAAAATGTTATACAGGGCGCCTGGCTGTTTTACAACGCTAAAACTTACAGCAGCGTTAAAAACCTCAGGTGTGAGACCTGGTGCAGACACACTCCTCATCGACCGAGGCTGAAAGTAAATTCAAAATGTCAAGAGAATTTTAAGAGTCGTCCAGAGCAGGGCAGAGCGATGCAGACCCAAACTCAATCAGATATCAGGAATTCATCTCGATTTTTTAAGAAAAAACAGCTAAAGAGTCAAAGCTACGCGTCTCAGATGTCACAGACACTTTTGCTGATCAATTTGTGTAAAACAGTTTAAATTCTATTAAGGATGGACAATAAATCAGCATCAGTATCGGTATTGGCCGATGTTAGTCATTTCTTAACATATCGGTATCGGTCCGATTAAAAACAAGGGGCCAATATTATCGACCGATATTTTTTCCATCGTCACCATTTCTTCGCCTGTTTCAGAGGGTGAGGGGGGTGATGTGTATTTGTTTAGTCATGTCACAGTGATTGTAATCATCTCAGAAGCATGAATGTGTGTGTTGTGTGTACATAATAACGTAAATTCAGCTTTAATCATTTTTATTCTATACAAAATCTGCTGATTTTAGAAGCATTAATGTCAGTGTATCGATATCAGCAATTATCGGTTATCGGTCATAACAGTGATCTTAATTTCAAAAACCAGTATTTTTTGTATTTTATATTTTACAACAAAGGGTGAGCCATCTTACATCGTTCATGATAAAATAGTACATTTTTCTTGCCTGGGAAAACAAATGTTAATTTCACAACGTAAATAAATCCACTGTGCAGCTGATTATGCTCATGAGGGTCACGCAGAGTTGTTAAAGGGAAACATGGCTGGAATCACACAGCATTCCCTCATATCAGTGAGCAGAGAAAGATGCATGGTTGTTTGAGGTATTTTGGCCCCTTTACCTGTTACCTGGTTACTAGTCAGTGATGGCAAAAAGGTTTAGATGAAACACGAACGTCTCCAAAAATATTAAAAACTTCAAAGCTGAGTGTAAAGTTTAGGGCAGAACAATAACACAGTGGTTTTTAGGAAGATTAAAAGCTGGTTTTTTTGTAAGTTTTGTCAGCAAACGATCAAATGGACGTCTGAGGGTACGAGTGAAACTTCGAAAAATTTGAATATGGTGCAAACGTTTATTTTTATCAGTAATTCAGCTTAGACTGTGAGACCATCTAAAGCAGAGGTATTCAATTCCAGACCTTGAGGACCGGTATCCAGCACATTTAAGTGGTTTATCTGGTCCAACACACAAGATTCGGTGGTTGAATCACCTGTGCAACAGCTCATCAGAAGCCGGTTAATCACCTGCTGATTGAAATAAGGTGTGTTGAAGCAGAGTTAAAACAAAAACGTGCAGGATACCGGCCCTCCAGGCCCAGAATTGAATAGCCCTGATCTAAAGGCTCAGGAACCCTTTTCAGGTGATAGATTAGGGTGTGACGCTTTGAGTCTAGAATATTGAACCTTTTCAGAATATTCTAACTGTCTGAGATGTTGAATTTGGGTTTTCCATGAGCTGTAAGCCATAATCATCCCATTTATAACAAATAAAGGCTTGAAGTGTCTGGCTTTACATGGAATGAGTCTATCTCTTGTGTTAGTTTCACCTTTAAAGTTTAAATAACTTAACCCTTATATAAACCCTTTCATTTTCTAACATTAATGTCCTTTGAGCACAAAAAAATGCAGTAGGGTCGTATAAGGGTTAAATAAATGTACTTTTGCATAATATTCCAATTTTAGCTTTTTGTAATGTCCACAAAGTGTATCGCTCCGCTCAACGGCGCTGTTACAGTCGATAGGTGTAATTCCACCATTTGCGTCGCTTCACTAAATTTATGCTTCAAGTCTACTTTTATGCTTCCAGAGCGTATCAACTTCAGCAGTTTAGATTGGGCCAGACAGGAGTTGAAACATGGCAGTAGTAAAACATCCAAAAACCTTCAAAATAAAAGACACATATTTCCAGTTGCTTAACTGTGCCTCTGTGGTCGAGGTGAAAGGAACAGAAAATAAACCACAAACCTTTTTGAAAACATGCTGCTGTCTTTCTCCTTTCTTGTTATCGCATGAAATGCTAAAATCACACCTGATCATGCAATTCTGTGATTTCATGACCTCAGGAGACCAGCTGAGTGGAACGCATTTGTGTTTGCTGCTGATTCACATCTGTGTCCACTGAGCTTGTGAGGGAAAACGCCTCTATTATGTTACGCGCTGCTTACGAATGCGGTAGAAAAATCAGATTAGAAGCAAGCTAACAGGAGCCAGACACGCCTGCTAACTCTTGGAATTCAATGGTTGCATATATATATGTGTATAATATTATATTATATATAAAACATTTATATATTATATACATTATATATATATAATATTATAAATATATATTATAATATATATATAATATAATATTATATATATGTGTATGTATATATATATATATATATATATATATATATATATACATACAGTGGGGCAAAAAAGTATTTAGTCAGCCACCGATTGTGCAAGTTCTCCCACTTAAAATGCTGACAGAGGTCAGTAATTGTCATCATAGGTACACTTCAACTGTGAGACACAGAATGTGAAAAAAAATAATCCATGAATTCACATGGCAGGATTTTTAATCCACCCTTTAAATCAGGGTGGAAAATAAGTATTTGGTCAATAACAAAAATTCAACTCAATACTTTGTAACATAACCTTTGTTGGCAATAACAGAGGTCAAACGATTACTATAGGTCTTTACCAGGTTTGCACACACAGTAGCTGGTACTTTGGCCCATTCCTCCATGCAGATCTTCTCGAGAGTAGTGATGTTTTGGGGCTGTTGCCGAGCAACACGGACTTTCAACTCCCTCCACAGATTTTCTATGGGGTTGAGGTCTGGAGACCGGCTAGGCCACTCCAGGACTTTCAAATGCTTCTTACGGAGCCACTCCTTTGTTGCCCGGGCGGTGTGTTTGGGATCATTGTCGTGTTGGAAGACCCAGCCACGTTTCATCTTCAAAGCTCTCACTGATGGAAGGAGGTTTTGGCTCAGAATCTCACGATACATGGCCCCATTCATTCTGTCCTTAACACGGATCAGTCGTCCTGTCCCCTTAGCAGAAAAACAGCCCCAAAGCATGATGTTCCCACCCCCATGCTTCACAGTAGGTATGGTGTTCTTGGGATGCAACTCAGTATTCTTCTTCCTCCAAACACGACAAGTTGAGTTTATACCAAAAAGTTGGTTTCATCTGACCACATGACATTCTCCCAATCCTCTGCTGTATCATCCATGTGCTCTCTGGCAAACTTCAGATGGGTCTGGACATGCACTGGCTTCAGCAGCGGAACACGTCTGGCACTGCAGGATTTGATTCCCTGCCGTTGTAGTGTGTTACTGATGGTGACCTTTGTTACTGTGGTCCCAGCTCTCTGCAGGTCATTCACCAGGTCCCCCCGTGTGGTTCTGGGATTCTTGCTCACCGTTCTCATGATCATTTTGACCCCACGGGATGAGATCTTGCGTGGAGCCCCAGATCGAGGGAGATTATCAGTGGTCTTGTATGTCTTCCATTTTCTGATAATTGCTCCCACAGTTGATTTTTTCATACCAAGCTGCTTGCCTATTGTAGATTCACTCTTCCCAGTCTGGTGCAGGTCTACAATTCTTTTCCTGGTGTTCTTCGAAAGCTCTTTGGTCTTGGCCATAGTGGAGTTTGGAGTCTGACTGTTTGAGGCTGTGGACAGGTGTCTTTTATACAGATAATGTGTTCAAACAGGTGCTATTAATACAGGTAACGAGTGGAGGACAGAAAAGCTTCTTAAAGAAGACGTTACAGGTCTGTGAGAGCCAGAGATTTTTCTTGTTTGAAGTGACCAAATACTTATTTTCCACCCTCATTTACAAATAAATTCTTTAAAAATCCTGCCATGTGAATTCATGGATTTTTTTTCACATTCTGTCTCTCACAGTTGAAGTGTACCTATGATGTAAATTACTGACCTCTGTCATCATTTTAAGTGGGAGAACTTGCACAATCGGTGGCTGACTAAATACTTTTTTGCCCCACTGTATATATATATATATATATATATATATATATATATATATATATATATATATATATATATATATATATATATATATATACACACACACACACACATGTATGTATATAAACTTTACTGGGTCATCCTGATACTTGTTTGTAAATAAATCAATATTCCTTTTAATCTGAATAAATTGTCCAGTCCTGATCCAGAGCGGACTAAAAGTTTATTTAAAGACCTCTAAAGTACCAGTGATTGCTCTGGACTCCGAGTCAGCCCTGTGACCTCATCGCTCCACTGCGACACCAAGTCAAAGGCGTTGACGGGCCACTGCAGACATGAGGCACTGTGCACGGCGCTGGAAGGCGGAGGAGTTGAGGGCAAAAGCCCCAAACACACAGCAAGGGATGAAAACTCCTCTTCCTCCTGAGACAAAAGGAAAAAAAAAAAAATCTAACCTTATTTTATGTAAATAAGGCACAAACACGCTGACATTTACGATGAGACTTACCAGGCAACCTGTTAGGTTGTCTCCGTAAAGGTGGTGCTGCAGAAGGCAGGAGAGGCGAAGGAAGGGCAGACAGAACTGCTGGAGGCTGATCTCGATGGACTGTGGAGACCACACACTGGAGCTCAGCTAGAGAGGAAAACAGCAGCAGCACCTGATCAATAACCAGCAAACAGCTTGCTGATAATACAGTGATGTATATCTCCCCTTGGAGATTAATAGAGATATTAGATCACTGTCTGGCAGGGTAATGGCCAATTTATAGTTAAAGGGAAAATGAAAAAGTGCAGAGCAGACGAGGCGCTGGGAGGTGGAAGAGGATGAGAGGATGTAATCTCCATGGCAGTAAAGCTCCAACAGGGCTAAACAGTCATCTTAGGGTCTCACCATTGTTGTTTCATCAGCGTTCACCTTGTAAACACTCTTGTCCTTTGAGAGCTCGACGATAACGTGACTGAGGAGAGCTTCAACAGATCTCTCGGAGTTTGCAGCATTCTGTGGCAGAAAATCAAAAGAAGAGAATTTAAAATAAGATGGATTCAACACAATAAATTAGGCAAAAATCATTAAAGAAATGACTCCTTTTGCATTCTTTACATGAATGCACCGTTCCATTTTAGAGTCCTGTCAGGCATAATTATGAACAACAGAAAAAAAAATAGCGTGATGCCTGATAAGCGGGAGAGACATTCCTGAATGTTTGTTCTGCTGATTCGGCTAGCATTTTCTACAGGAGAGAAGCAGAAAGCATTTATCAAACTGAAGGTGGTAGAATATAAAACAGCAGCCTTATCTTCTCCGCTGTCCTTTGTCATAGATTTATAGCGGAGGAATTTCAAGTCTACAGCTTTCCTTCCTCCAAGTTCCGATCTTCCTACAGGATGTCTCCAACTTAGTTTAATTACACCAGCATTCAACCGAACACAGATGCTGCTTTTGCGTTTAAAACTCAGATTGCTGCAGCATGAAGGTGTAGCCTTCTATCTGGAATAGAAATGCGTTAACAGATGGATTTCAGCAGCTTGTTAGTTTATTTATTTGTTTACCTTTTTAAGTGCTCCAGAAGTGACCCAGGCCTGCCGTTCCTCTGGGCTGAATTTGGTTGAAAGTATAGCCAAAGCCTGAATGAACTGTAGGTTGAACAACATCTTGACCACACAGGTAAAGTGCTCTACAGGGAAACAGGAAGTAACATCCCAAGTGTGAGTTATAAAGGCTTCAAATCTACAACCTGAAGCATTTTACAGACGTATTTGGATTATACGTGTTTTAACTGGAGAATGTGGCTGCAGACATATTTAGGTAGCTTCTCTGCTGTTAATTATTAAAATATTGCAATAAAAACAAAAAAAAAATACAAAAGATCATAGAAACAACTCATGAGCACAGCAAGCAAGACGTGGACCTCCCATCATCACGGGGGTCATGCTTTCATGATCCTGACAGCATCCAGAGCACAGATCAGAAAACAGTTTCTCTGCAGCACTCAGCCTGGATTACAGCGGATAATGGTGCTGCCACTCAGGATCCTGCATTTGTGGTGTCATGATGCCGAGACGGTGACTTTACCTTTACGCAGAGGCTGTGGCATTGTTAGCACAAAGATAATGAGAAGGGACGGGACATCTCGAAACAGCATGGGGACCTCGGGTCTCTCTTCATCAAAGATGCTGCAGATAAAAAAAGCAAAAGTACTTCATTTATTCAGAATGTGCTCGGAGCGACGTTAAACAACTAAAAAAAAACAAACGGGTCGTTTTTAATAGAATATCTGGTAAGCCATAAATGATGACTGATTTGTTATTTACTGCTTTGTTTTGCCACTGGAGGCGTCTCATCTTTTCACCACACGTTCTACACCACCACTACCGCTTCACATTATTCTTGTTTATTAAAACAATAAAAATGAGCCGGAATTGAAATGCTGTTCCTGCAAACGCTAATTCAGATGCGTAGTTTAAAGGGCACACATTATTACTTTTTACATATGTTTTAATAGTTTTATGGTCTATAAAAACATGTTTTTGAAGTTCGTTGCTCTAAACCCCTCTCACATGAAGCGATTTCAGCAGTTTTATTCTTGACATTTTCAGTACCTTCCAGAATGAGTAATTTCAGGGCTCTGTCGCTTTAAGGCAGGGGTGTCAAACATGCGGCCCGTGGGCCGGATCTGGCCCGCAAGCGGGTTAAATCCGGCCCGCGAGATGGTTGTGTAAACTTTATTTTCATACTTTACAATGTAGAGTGAACATAAACTTATCTTTGTGAGCAAGTTTCCTCTGTAATGAGTATAAATAAAACAAAGCTGCGCTCAAGGCTCACACAAGAACTTGAATCACATCCTGAAGTTGGCTGCCACTCAGGATGTGACTTCTGATACTGATGTGCTGGTGAAAGCTAAAAGATGTAAAGTAAAATGAGTCAAATATACTTTAAGTGTTGCATGAAACTGCCATGTGATCTGTAAGCTCTTTGAATCACTAAGGAGTGTTTTTTTTATTTATTGAATTTTTTTTTCTTCAAATTTTCATGTACGCTTCAGGTGTTGTACTTGTACTATTTTGGATACACTGTCCTCAGGCTCCAGCCTTGTTTTATATTGAATGTGTTAAAACAAAGGAAACAATCTGAAGTTGTTTTTAATTTACCGGTCCGGCCCACTTGGGACTAGATTTCCCTCAATGTGGCCCCTGAGCTAAAATGAGTTTGACACCCCTGCTTTAAGGAAACAAGATGGAGCTTGCCACGTCCACATATCCCCAACTCCGGTAGCGGTTTTAGGCACGGGCAGACAGGGCAGTTGCCCGGGGCGGCATTTTTTCATGACACAAAAGGGGCGCACAAGCGCGGAGTAAAAAAAAAAAGGAAATCTGCACCGCACCGAGGTTTTCTATTATCTGTCATATGACAGTGTCTGGATTGGAAACAGCAAGTTGGCGCCCCCTGCAGTTGCAGGCGCTCCTGCTGACTGAGAATGTTCACGTGCTCCGTGTGTCTATGAAGAACAGGAAGGGGAGGGCGCGACGGGGGAATTCACCTCTGCGTCTTTCCCAAATGAAATGAGCGTGCAGGGGCTGAATCAACTGTATTAACATGGCTAAAGTCAATCACATCTTAACGTTCTTCCATATTTCATTCATAATATCATAAACACAGGCCTATCATTCTTTCAGGTTTCTCTGAATTGTGTGAAATGGCCGAATAAAAAAAGGAAAAACAAAACGATTTTGTGGTCCTTCCCCCCCATCAAGGTCAAATTGTTTAGTCCTGACTAAAGGACACTTATCGAGTCAAGAGCCAAACAGAAGAGATGAACATAAAAAGGCTAAAACCACCAGGTGCCCGATTCAGGGGGAAAAAAGAAAAAAGAGCAGAAAGATAAAGGTATGTAGTTCTCATGATGCATGTTTTCAATTTTTTGAACCAGTTAACTGGGATTTTAACGGTTAAATTCGGTCAACTAGTTGCTAACAGAGCTAATAGGGCTGAAATATTTAAACGAATATTCAAATGGTTTGAAAAAAGTCCTTCAATCATTTTTTACTGATTCAAACTAGGATTTGTTAAATGCTCGCTGCAGCCTGTGGCCTGCCTGAACAACAACAAACACATGTTGATCATGTTCACATAATAATAAATAAAACAACTCTACAAGCAGAAGAAAACTCCCCAGTCACCACTAACTATCCTGTTTATTTATTGCAGATGGCTGCACTGATTATTTTTACATGATTTGTTCTGTAAAAGTTGGCATTTTTGGTAGTCTACAGTTTTTTATGTCAGTTTAAATTACAATTTCAGAGGCCATTCTAAAATATTATGGATCATGATAAAGATCTATTGGAGATCCACCCTGACTTTTGGACTGCTCTGCCAGTCACTGTGGCTCAAGCTGAGAGGAGCTTTTCAAAACTTGATCAAGCCATACCTGAGGTCAGCTAGGTTTCAGGGGCGGCTCACTAACCTGGCTCTGATTAGTATCAATCACTCAGTAGGGGAGCAGATTTCATGTGATGACATTATTGATGACTTTGCATCAAGGTTAGGTTTTAATTTTAGTTTGTGTTTTCTATTCTAAGTGCAGTGCTGTAGTGATTATCTTTAGTTTGTTACGTGTGAAATATTTTTGCTATTTAGAATATTTATTATCTATTATGTTCATATATTCTTAATATTTAGTTATTGTTTGTTTTTGTATATTTGATTCTATATATTTTGATACAGTATATAATGTATAGTGCTTTACATTCTGACAACTTCATAGTAATTAATGTAAATATGTGCAACTTAGAAAAATGAATGTTCAATAGTCGTTCTAATAAAACATGCCTGTTTGTAGAAAACATGCGTGTGTTCATGCAGGTGGGGTGGTGTGGTGGTGGTGGTGGTGGGGGCGGTGGGGGGGGGGGGGCGCTCAAAGGGGGCCTCGCCCGGGGAGTAATTCGATGTAGAACCGCCACTGCCCAACTCAAGCTGCTATTAGCTGAGAATCTCCGGTATTTGAGAGGGGCTCTGAGTAGAGGCACTGCTCCTCTAGCAGCAGCTGTCTATTGCACCTAAAAGGTGGTTCAATGCCAATTTCCCCATTTATGACATCACAAATGGGAACTTTTTGAAAAGGTTCATTTAAAGATTTAATTCCTAAAACCAAACTCCAACAGAAAACAAATAGATGTTTTTTTTAACATTTGAAGTGTTTATAGAGGCATTAGAGAAGCACATGGCAGCATAATGTGACCCTTTAAGGTTTAACAGTGGTTTACCATCTCTAAAATAACTACAAACTTTAGTTTGATCTATTTGTTAAGCCTTTTTATCATTTTTTAAGTCACTCAAGTGATAAAAATAACCAAACAAAAAGATGAATAAAACTGTGTTACATAAACCACATTTAAAACAGCTTTTAAAGTAAGGAGTTTGCAGCTTTTTCTATTTTAAATATGATAGAGCTTGAAAAAGACTCTTTTTTCCCTCCAACTAATACATTAATGCATTCCTGGTTACATATTCTCATTGTGCACACTCTCCATTTACATGTTTTTGTTTTGCTGATGTCCTGATCTCCATCTACCCTTGAAAGGCTTTGGGTGAAAAGGTGGGGGGCTGGGGGGGTTCAAACAAGAGGAACTGCACTTAAAGAATAATACCTTCCATTACCAAAGCACTCACCACTTAATTTGTCTGTATAATGGAAGGAACCCTTAAAGGACAGAGCTTTCAACCCTGCACGCCAACTATAGCTGCACAGAGACACATGCTGCCTTCATTGAATCCTCAGATTTTTTTTAAAAACCAACAGAAACTAAAGGTTAGAGCGATGTTTTACATCTATGTAGAAACATCTCTCCCTGTCCTATTTAACTGGATCGCACCAGGTCAACTGCCTGAAGGCGCTAATGACGCTCCTCCCTCCTGAAGCTTCCAACAAAGTATTTTTAAAACAGCAAATGGGTCCAGTGAGAATACGGTGTGGCTGGGAGCACTTCCATGGTAACAGGTGTAAAAGCTGTGCAACAGAAAACTAACAAGGAGAAAAGGTTGTTTAAGCTCCTTCTTCTTTGTTAAGGACTGAATTTATTTATTCTTGTGTGTTTTTGTTCACCACGCTCCAACATATCAGTGGACAAACAGGCTTTTGCTCCAAAGAGCTGGTGTATATTAGTATGAGAAGGTAAAAGCAGCTTTTTTTGGAGTTTTTTGTTAAATTATGATTCAGCTGAAAGCTTGGTGGACAGTTGGGAGCGGAAACATCACGCTGATGTTGGTGTGGTGCTGTTGTTCCCAGTACAGTGACTCTGACAGGCTCATTTTGCTCTCCGTGGAGTGCCCGGTAATTTGCCAGATGCAGCAATTATCTGTATCTATGGAAACCGACGCACGGCCCCCCTTTATTCTGTTTTTAGCTTCTCTTTGTGTGAAGGAAGAGCTGATGGGGGCAGGAGGGAACGGTGGTGTTTAGAGAGAGGACAAAGTGGCACTCTGATTGCACGTTTATTAGAGGAGGGAACGGGAAAAAGACAGTATGGATGCAAACGACTTATAGACTCAAAAGAAAGAACGCCACTCACTCTGCCTCTTTATTTATTGCAACCCGAGTCAACTTTGTCCAGGGGTTGTAGGCTGAATCGATGCTGTAAAGACGCATGTGCATGGCCAACACGTGAAACAGCTGATCTGAAAGAAATAAAAGCCAAACACACCGTTATGATGTCACAAATAGGAGGTAATAAAGCCGAACCACTGATAAAAGCTTGGCTCAGACTAAACCAGGCCATGACCAAGCCTGAAAGCTTCCAGGTACTTTTTTGTAAAACTACACCAGTTTGTTGTGAAACCAGTAGAACATGAAAAAGAACCGCTAGGGCACACAAAATTCCACGTTTACTCGTGACGATCTGTAATAATATGACACCTTGAAGTCCTTAAGTGTCTTTGGGTTTACCTGTCCTCAAGAGCAAAAACGGTGCCTTTAAAGCAAAAATTACTTTTTTTAAACAATAGCATAAATTCAGCCATCCTTTTCAGCTCTGATATAAATACACCCACATATTCTAATAATAAACGCAAGTCTTATTTAGGTTAGACCTTAAAGATGTTTGACAGCTTTAGTACATTTGAGTGTTTGAAATCAGTTTCAATAAGCCGCAACTTTGACTTGCATCCTTTTTGAGTTTGAGATTTCTAATGGAAGAGATTACTCACATTTGAGTTTGCTTTGGCAAATTAAGATGCTGTAATGCAGCAAAGTGTTTCATGTCATTAGCACTTCAATTTCCCTCGAGTGTGACTTCTTGTCAAAACTTGGAGCAACACTGCCCCCCACAGGTATATAAAAAGAACAGCAAAGAAAAGGAAAAGCGTTCATTCCCAGCTTCACCACAGCCCGTTTTCTCTACCGGTTCCATACTTTTCCTTTCATTTTCCTGACATACATTTAATTCTTCAACCCAAGTAAGTTTTCTTGTTTGAGAAAAGGTGAAATTACAGAAAGAAATCTCCATCTGACATTGTAATGTAGCACCATTTTACTAAAAACTTGCTCTACTAAATTGCTGCAGATGAGAGTAAATAAGGGACAGTAACTGGTCAGATTAATCCCCTTCATCCATTCATTCATTTATTTAACAATGATACATTTTAGGAAGCGCACATCTTCTCTGTAGCCATTTAATGAAATATCAGTTTACACGTGGAACACAAATACAGTTGTCTGCACTTCTGAGGTCACCAAGGTCAGCCTTTAAACTGCCTTCACAGCAGCAGCCGCCTATTACACAAGATTAATATTTGGCGTTAAAGGAGCAAAGCTATTTGAAAGCTTGACGCTAGAATTGATTTAGCTCCTTCCAAGGGAATTGAGGAGAGCTTGTTTCTGTAGTCAATTGTAACCTCATCGGTTTAACAGACAAAATGCCTATAGGGAGGCTGAATTAGGAGTCCCGTGGGCTTTCACAGTTAGCCAGCGGCTGCCTTTTCCCTTTAAATCCATTTCCCTAAGAAGAATCAACTCTAATGTACTGCAACTGAGTAAATTCGGCTGCCAGCACAGCAACACGGTTAATGTAGCTCAAAAATGGCAAAACCTCCAGTGTGAAATCTCTTTTCAGCCACTCGAGGACGACAGGTCGTTTCACTGCAGCAGCCACAACTTTGAAAGAGCAATTAAATAAACAGAAAATGGAGATTAGTCTTTTCAGAAACTCATATTCCCTTCTTCCACAGATCTCAGATGATTTAATTACAGATAAGTGCTGAAAATCCTAATTTGCTTTCACTTGTCTGCAAATAATGATAATATTTAGATTTTTCTTTAAAAGTTAGACGTCCTTGTCAGCTCTCACAAAGTGAACAAAAGGATGTACCGTAAATCCTCTAATACAGGCCCGGGCCTGTATTTGACTCAAGCTCATCAAGCTCCAGGCCTTTATTGGAAGGAGGGCCAGTATTAGAGGCAGGCCTCTATTTCTATTTGAGCAAAATGAACTAATGGTTTGCTGGAGTTTTTGACAATTAAAATTGCGCCCACATTTTCAAAGTTAAACACATTTCTTTTAACAACGGTAGTTTCTGCTTCAGCCCTCTCCCCCCTCCCCCTGTGCAGCAGCCGCAAACTCACTGATGCGCCTGCAGCCTCTCGGAGTTCCTGCTGCTCTAAACATTAAAATAATTATTTCATTTTCTGTTCCTCACTTCTGATTACCTTCAATGGTGTCTGTTTGTTGCAACAGCAGGTACAAAAACTAACTTGTTTTTATTTGACTATTTTTCTGTCCTGTCTGTTTATTATCTTCCTGCATCTCCTCTCAATCCTAAAGAAAAGCTGCTGCCTGGGTTCATATATATTCACCTTATGAGTTACCTTTGAACTGCAGTTCTAAAAGATCTACCGACCGCAAAAACAGCGGAGCGCTTGCTGTTTGGCGGCCGTATCTGTGATCAGTGCATCGGAGGACAAGGTGATGCCCGCAGCGCCCCGCTCCACAGCATGCAGCGAAACGCATCAGGCGCAAATAAAAGACAGAAAACATTAAAGGAAATGAACTGACATGAACGATCGCGTGTTAAATTAGTTTTTGAGGTGGTGACACCTGATTGTTACTGTGGCCGTGCTCAGGAGGCAGATCTACCGACCGCGAAAACAGCGGAGCGCTCCCTGCTTGCCGGCCGCATCAGTGATCTGTGTGTCGGAGGACAAGTTGATGCGCCCCGCTCCACAGCAGCGATACACATCAGGCGCAAATAAAAGACAGAAAACATTAAAGGAAATGAACCAACATGAACGATCGCGTGTCAGTACCTACGGGAGCGTGGTTTCACAGACGCGGAAGTGAGAGCGTCGGTGAAACGCCGGCTGCTCTAGGAAACCCCCGAGCGTTCGAGCGTCAACGAAGTGACACGGAAATGCCGGGCTTTCCAGAAGTAAGTAAGATAACTTACTATGAGCTGATAGTTCGTTGGATTGATTGTTAGGTTGGAAACTCTGATCGTGAATCTGAAGAAACGATGACTGAGCTGTAAAGGCGACTTCCGTTTATAGCCGCGGTTTGTGACGTAGGTGCGACGTGGAGGGAATCCCCGCGAGGGGCATGCTGGGAGTCCCTACTTCGCGGATTTTCACCTATCGCGACCAGGTCTGGAACGCATCTACCGCGATAAACGAGGGATTACTGTAGTTCATACACCCCCTACTGCTGCTCTCCAGAGTGTTCTGCAGCATAATCAGCACGTTCTCTTTGAACTTGATAGTGTAATGACCTGGCTGGGGTTGTAAGCCAGGTGCATTCTGGGTATTGTGTTATATGTGTTTCCTATCATTCTGCTAGTTCCTATGTGCTGATTTGCGTGTTGTGCGAGTGTTATGTAAGCCACAGGGAAGGTGATGTGTGTTCTGTGGAGCGGGTTGAATTAGCATGGTTAACTGACACTGTGACTCTGTGTGGTAGGAGCGTGATAGAGGATCGTGTCTGAAGCGTTACAAAGCTTGAAGAAAAAGCCTAAAATAGGTCTACGCGAACCCCTACTGCCTCCTGCTGGTTGATTTGCGGGACTATAACCCTGCCGCCGGGACTCTCGTACTTCCTTGTTACCACATTCCATCCGGCCACAATAAGAGACCGGCCATTATTTACCTCCGCTGACTCCGACACCGGCCAAAATTGGAGACCCGGCCTTTAATTGAATACCGGCCTGTATTAGAGGATTTACGGTATATGCATAATGCTGAGTTCATCATCATCATCATCATCATCATCATGCCAAATGCATTTATTTTGGCATTCAAAGAATTATGCAAAAAGAAAAAGAGATCAGAGTCATTACTCACTCAGACACGAGCGCTTGGCAGCTGCACTGGCTCCTCCAGAGCACAAGTTTCCTCCCCGATGCACAAGTTCAAGCTCCAAGTTGGTCCTGAGGTGACAGAGTCGCGAGAATTAGCATGCAGGAATAATAAACAGTTGGGCCAGTGAATTATCTCTACACAACCATGGGATAGTAAATAAATAGTTAAAGACCAAGTTCACCAGTTTATTAAAACACATTTGCAGTATAGTGTAGTACACTGCCAAGCCACCTAAAAAAAGGGTCACCCAAACACACTAACACTTAGTAGGACCACCTTTATTGACTGTAGCATTGTTTCGATAAGCTTCTGCAATGTCACAAGATGTGTTCCCATCCAGTGTTGCATTAATGTGTCACCAAGATCTTGCATTGATGATGGTAGAGCGTGACCGCTGCACAAAGCCTTCTCCAGCACATCCCAAAGATTCTCAATGGGGTTAAGGTGTGGACTCTGTGGTGGCCAATTCATGTGTGAAAATGGTGTCTCATGCTCCCTGAGGCACTCTTTCACTATTTGAGCCTGATGAATCCTGGCATTGTCATCTTGGAATATACCCGTGCCATCAGGTAAGGTTCAGTATATTCAGGGAGTGGTCTTGACCTTTAAAACTGAAACAAGCTTTACAGAGTACCAAACATGCATAGTCCATCTGTTGGCATGTTGGCTTGCTTTTCTCTACCTCAACATATAATATAGTTGAAACCCACCTCCAGATGCTTCAGTGTTACACGTTTTAAGATAAAACGGAAAGTATCTTAATTTGCAACATCCTCTACTCACTAATGTCACAAGATGCTTTTTTTAGAGAAGGTGCTCATTCACCTGTGGAGCTCAAATTCACAGCAGGAGAGCTGAGACGTGTTGGTTTATGATGAAGGACAGATTCAAACAATGCCAAATTTTAGAAATAAAAAATTTTTTTTTGTGCAGAATTAAAGCTCTCGTTAACTTGCTTTTCCCCCACAATAAATTAGCTGTGGTTACTAGTAAGACTGTATGTCTTGTTGTCTGAATGTCTTATATTAAAACTGATAATGTCTCTAAGCTCTTGTGATTTGTCAGACAAAGCTGAATTACCCCAAGAAAAATTCTCAAGTGCACTCCTTCAAATTCTCAACTTTGACGCCTCATTCCTCACAAGACTCTGTGAGAATGTGCACCAGAGTGGAAGCAGATCACTTGTGTAACTGTATTTCATTCAGCCTTTGTAGACTGCCCTTTTCAATAAATTGATTAGGAAGATGAAAGATGGTGCTCAGTCCAGCCATTTGGTATTTAACAGGCTTGTTCTGCAGCACCAGTTCAATATGAAACATGCACCTGCCTCCCAGAGCGGTTTTTCACAAGCTGAACTATTAGCATAAAAGCATTTCCAACGTCAGTTCATGCGTAATCCCTGATGTGTATTACCCAGTCAATAAGAGAAACATTCTCCTTTCTGAATTTTAATTCTGCAATTAAAAACAAGATGTGACAAAAGGAAAACCTTTTAAAAACGTACGTAGATGGTGAAAACTGATAGGTGTTTTTATTTTTTTAATGGGACTGATCTAGGCCTTTTCCATCCTACCACTGGCCATTTCTTCATATGGGCCAAGGAGGAGGGGGCAAATCCTCGGGTTTCCTGGGAGAAAAAAAGCAATTTCACATAGATAATGCAACCACGGTGAAGCTCCATCTGGCTTTTGCTGATAAGAGCACCCGTGTGACTGAAGAATTTTCCACTCCTCAGGCAATTTGCGCTGTTCATTGAACTTCAGAGAGCCAACAGGCATCCAGACCCTCTTAAGGGATCATTTTGTTTAGGGTGGAGGGCTGAAGGAACTACACTATTGGGTGGGCAAAGGTCTGAATGGTTATGCTACACAAATGGAAGAGTTTTGGAATGGAGGCGAAGTGATTCGTGTGACTTCAGGGTGAGAGCGGTCGTTTCTCTTACCTGTGACCAGTGTGTTGAACATTACAGGAAAACTGTAGAAAGGACTGTGGAATCTTTGCTTTGAGCCTATTTGATTTGTTATGTGGCTAAAAAGGTGATTTTATTATAAAAAAAAAAAGACAAAAGATACATCATGTATACAATATGCAATCTGTGGTGATGCCAATGGTGATTCTCTCTGACCAATAGTGGAGGCTCTTCAAGAGGGCGCCGCCCTACCTTCATATTTGCCAATTTGCGAGTGCCTACAAGTACCGTAATTTCCGGACTATAGAGCGCACCTCAATATAAGCCGCACGGGCAAAAAAAAAAGGTTTTCTACACACACACACACGTGACACCGCACTCAAATACAAGCTACATGCAGGTCTCTGGCGCACAGCGCATGTACGGCCATAACATAAGATAATTAGACAGAAAGACGCTACACGGAAGTTTTTCGTTGTTGTTTTAATTCAACAAAACGAATTTTAAACACGGGTGAACGTGCCTGCAAGTTTAGAAAAGAAAACAGCACTGATAGCATTCATATTTCTGGACGGTTATAAAATAAAAACAGCACTGACACGTTATTACCGGTAATTTGCATGTTTAGAAGAAAAGAACAGCGCTGGCACAGCATTAATAAGCCCTGGATGATTCGAAAATAAAAATTGCACACAAAACATGCCTGGTTAGTAATGATCTGCACATTGGAAACAGTGGAAACACCTCGGCCGTCTGCTCTTTGTGTGTTCACCCAGTCTTCAAGAATGTTTTCCAATTACGGCCATCTGCTTTTATTTCCTCTGAAAGCTTTTGTCGTTTTTTTACATTGACTGAGTTCTTCCCGCTGCCGCCTCCAACGTCGCACCAGTGCGTTTACATGCAGCCAGTAACCTTTTAAAACCCGAATATGCACAATAACCCGGTTCCGCAGGCCCATGTAAACACCGCCAAAAAACCTGGATATGCTCATAACCGGGTTTTTAAAATCCTGGTTACTACACCTGGGGTAACCCTTTTCTAACCCAAATGTTTGGTCGTGTAAACGCATACCGGGATATCCCCATCAAAGCGCGTGTTCTGCGCATGTTCTGTTCACAAGGAATCTTGGTCTTTTGAGTAGCGAGACGTCTTGTATGCGCCAGAACACCGGAAGTAAACAACAAGTTGGGAGCAACATGGCGAGTCGCGGCACAGCACCACACTTTCAGAGTGCCGAGGAAACTAAAGCACAAACAAACGCGGTCGCTATCTCTTCCGAACTGGGAAACAAGAAACAAGAAGAACCGGAGGGGGACGAGGCAAGATGGCGGCCTGAGCAGTTCTACCTTATCTGTGCTCCTGGTTACTTTACTCAAAATTACTGCTTAAAACTTGTATTTCCCACCGAATTACATTGGATTTTATAGAGCTAAATAGGGCAGTCTATTAAGATGTCTAAGCTGAAAGCCAACACTCCAGTGACTGCACGGAAACAAGCGGACCACGAATATGCTATGGATATGGACCGCCAAAGTGATAAAAGACCCCGAGATGCGTCGGCTCCCTCCACACCATCTAAAGTTACCACCTGTAAGGTACCGAAACCGAATGATGACGAGGTATCAGGTTCCGTGATCTTGGCTGCTATCAACAAACTCACGGTCAAATTTGAGTCGCAGGAAGAGCGCATGAAAGACCTTGATGCTAAGCTAACACAAAACTGTGCTATGCTACTTAACGTGGCTAAAGCGACCGAGTTCAATGCGGCTGAAATTAAAGACTGTAAGCAGAAAGTGAACGACATAGAAAACGAAGTGGCCGGTTTGAAATCTGAACTCACGCTGTTGAAAGAAAAATGTCGTGAACTTGATAATTACAAAAGGAGATGGAACATCGAAATTAAAGGTTTGAAAGAATCTGCCAACGAAGACACACGTCAGGTTGTGGTAGACCTTCTCAAGAAGATTGCGCCGCAGTGGGCAGAGAAAATGGATGAGATTGTGGATACTGTACACCGCGTCGGTCAGAGGGAAAATGGAAGAGTGAGAGATGTCATCATTCAATTTCCTAAACGACACCATAGAGACGCCTTTTGGAAGATGACAAAAAATTCAAAGATCTGCCAAGATGCAGGCATCAGGTTCGCTGAAGACCTCACCAAGGAGGTTAAAGAAGCAAGGGAGGTGCTGTGGCCACGGATCAAGCAAGCACGTCAGGAGGGGAAGAAGGCCTACTTCCGTGGCCCTTATGGATATATCAACGATCGGTGTATTACATAGTGTGGGAATCTTTATTTATGAGGAAAAGCAAACTTATCCTTCTTTTTCCTAGAAGAACTCTACGTGACTTTCGCTCTCTTTGTTATCTTTTGTTGTGAGTTCAAGCTGCTGCGAGGTTACCCAGCAGATGAATGTGTTAAAAGAAACTTTAAACTTTGGTTCTCTTAATTCTAGGGGTATTAAGGACAACTTAAAACGGAAAGCAGTGTTCTTACACTGTAAAGGAAGGAACTACCAATGTGTTCTTCTACAAGAAACTCACTCCTGTGCTTCTGATGCCACCTACTGGACAGCGCAATGGGGAGATAAAATTCTCTTCAGCCATGGAAGCAACCATTCAGCTGGAGTTGCTATATGCTTCAACAAATGTCCCGGTAATGTTATCTCTTTCAGATCGGACAATAATGGCCACTGGTTGACTGCGGTTTTAAAGATTGACAATGCATACATAATTCTAACCAATGTTTATGGATATAATAATGCCACACAGAATAGGAAGTTGTTCCTAGAAATCAGTAACGTTGTTTCTGACTACAAAACTCTTTATCACACAGACTTAATTCTGTTTGGAGGAGATTTTAATCTCGCACCTGATGATTATTTGGACAGAGACCCATCCAAATTTAATGTTCCGCACGTTAATCCAATTTTGAATGATTTATGTAACTCTTTCTCATTGATTGATATTTGGAGAAACAATAATCCTAACACCAAGCAATTCTCATGGATTAAACCTAATGGAATGATAAGATCAAGAATTGATCTATGGCTGGTTTCCCCACCGTTAGCCAACATAGCTACAGACGTTTTTATCTCTAATGCACCTCTAACTGATCATTGCCTAATTTCTATTAAATTAACTCCAGAGATAAACACAAAG